CCCCACTTTGGTCTGCCAAGAAGAAATTCAGTGTGTATCTTCATGGATGGATCCAACAGGATGAATCTTCTCGAATCCAATACAGGGCCTGGAACTAAGTTATATAATGATCAATAGTTTAAATGAAGAAAGCTGTTTCAACCTTTTTCATATATAATAAATATTTCCCTGTGAGCAAAATAATGGTTTGACTGCCTGCATAAATATACTCGTACAATGAGTTGCAACAAGAAAGTTCCCACCATCTGTAAAATTCCTTTCTCTGCACATTTCACAGGTGCCGCATGTAGCTTGCTATCTATTGTTATCATGCAAAATATTTAAACTTTGGGGATAAGACTTTTGAGTTATGCCTTTCCTGCAGATTATCTGTCCTTGTGGTTTTCAGACTTGATTGCTTCTCAAAACAGTTTCCTCCTCTTTCCTTGATGTGGAAACTATTTTGACCACCATTAGCATAATATTTTTTGAAATTTCTATTCCACAGTGAAAATGAGATATATTTAAAGTCAGATGCCTTAGAGCATCGTTGAATTTTCTGAATGGAATTCCCCTATACCCATCGCTTCCTAACTAGATCTTTTATGTCTAAGAATATTTACCCATGTAGTAGGGCCATATTGCTGCTTTCCTTCTCATCTTTCCTATTACTTTCTCCCTTTGGGATCATATTGCTTTGCTGTTTGTATGTATACCGGGAGTTTATGCATCGGAGCAAATGCCTTGTGTCCAATCACACTTGACCAATAAAGACCTATTCTATTCTTATTTCTTTTTCTATTCTGTTTGAAAATAGACACAGCTTGTGCCTTGTTGCCTGCTGAAACTAAAGTGACAAGCAATAAATCTATCACTCAAATTAATTAATTATTTATTGGCTTACTATTGGCATGACTGTTCTCCATGGAGCTGGGCAGTTCCCATACTCTCTTTTTCAATAGTTCCATAGTTAAGATTTATTATTTATTTGTTCTAGTTATATGCTTCCTTCTCCCAAACTCTCATTGTTTTATTCAAAAATAAAAGAACCAAAAATATTTTAAATCAGAAAGGATAAAACTTGTATTCCCATGAACCCCACCTCCAAGGATAACACTGTCTCCATCTTTGCAAGACAGAACAAGTAAGTCTTTACAGCTTTCCTAAAGCCAAGGAGGGACCAAGATTTCTTAATCCTGGCAGGAAATTTACTGAGTCTGGACTTGTTGAATACAGTGACTTCATGTGATGCCTTTTAAAGTTATTATAGACTTTTGAGTTTCAAAAGCTCTAATCAATAAAACATTTTCTTTTCCCCTCTTAGACCAGTTCTTAAGAAGGCAGAACGTTGCATTTTGGCTCTTTCCTCTTAATAGGCTGCCTGATTTCAGGGTTGGGCACAAGTAGGATTGAAAGTAAGGTTGTCTCTTTGAAACACACATTTGCAGTTGATTAGACTGTGTCATATGGCTGGGGGCGCAGGGCAGGGACAGAATGGGATAAATCTCCTTGCATCTTAAATAAACCACGAGGTGGGAAATTTGTGTAATGTACTTTAAAGCAGATCTGCAGAATTTGATGCCCCAAGCCTAACCAAGTTGCAGTTTCTAAACACTTCCTCATACTGGGAAGTAATAACATTCGTTAAAGTTATATTGTAAATTAATATTAAAGTTTGTGATGATTGAAGTTGCCAAGCACTGGAAAGGAAAAAAAGGATGCCGGCTGTTGAAGAATGAATTTTAAAATTGACTGAATTAGCAGAGTTTGTGATATTAACTGCTTTGATCAGAGATAATGGACTAGACAGCTTTAAAAGAGACTGGAAACCTTTTGTGGACTTTCTATGTGCCAAAAAAAATAACAGATTGCTAACACAGGGATTTGAAGATTATATAATGTTCAGCTTAACCTGTTGACTGCTCTTACTTGAGTGTGTGTGTGTGTGTGTCTGTGTGTGTTTGTAAAGGGGTTAATTATAGTTTTTTGCCCTTTTTCAGCATCCAGTCAGGGTAGATTCTATATGTTAAATATTAGATTTATTTCGTATGTGGCTCATCTTTCTCTCTTTTTTGTACACCATTTTTTGTTTTTAGTTCTGGATGTATGCCATTGTTTTGTTTGATCATTTTTCTGTTTTGTATTTTACCTTTTATGATAAAATCAAAAAAATATTGTCAAATCTGAAAGCCCATCTTTTACATTGGGCCTTCAGCCCTGCAACATTTTCTACTGTGGGAAAATGGGAGGGGGGATTATTTAGAGTATGACTGATACATAGTCAAAATAACATTCTTTTCTCAGAGAGTCAAGGACACCATGCCCTTCAGCTGCCCTGATGTAACTGAGAGGCATCTCCAGTTTTGGATGGTGCCTGATTGGATCATGTGATGGACATATATGGGTGCTTGGCAGGGACTTGCACTTTCTTTTGGGTGGGCAAAACCTGTAAACTTTCAGATTTGGGTTTTCCCGGATGTGCCAATATGACATCTCTAATAAAATGAAACTTGGAGGAACTTCAAGCCTGGAGTCTTCTTTTGTTAAGGGTATTACTTGGAACCCTTACAAATATATAGTAGAACCTCCGGTCATAATTTGTTCTGTGACTTTGGTCGCAAACTGATTTGGTCATGGCCCAAACCTAATTTTGGAAAATTGGCGCTTGCAAAAAAAAATGGGAATTTTTTGGTCGGAACCCAATTTGGTCATGGTCAGAAGCGTTCATGACCAGAGGTTCTGCTGTACATAAATATTAAGATTTATTTTCTGTCTCCATCCAGTACATTTTGAACATCGGATGCACTCAAAGGTTTTAATGGATTTTAATACAGAAATAGTTTTGTACCCTCCCATTATGCAGTCTCCTACACCAGTTCAGCTAAGATTTCCACCAGTTCAACTTAGTCTTCAATTAAGATACATATTCCAGATAAATTTATATGGGGAGTGAAATAAGGTTGAACTGAATTGAGGTTGTTTCTTGAAGCCTTGGATAAACTCAGCATAGTGATACTGTTTTTGTTCTCAGACTTTTTTCTCAAGGAAGCCTAGGGTGGAGGAATAGATGGGGAACTGGCTATTCTTGAGGATTCCATCTTTGCATTCATAGAAACAAAAAAATAAACTTCAGATACAACTTTGCCTATCTTCCGTAGCATGCTGTATGTTTTCTTCATAGAGGCTAGCTTAGTAGCTTGGAAGCTAGTCACTGGGACAGGAAACTGTCCCACACTCATCTGAGGCAGGGATCATGGCCAGAAAGTTTTTTTTTTATCACACTTCTATAGCCTGGTATGAGCCTGGATCCCTTGTTTGTTTTGGTGGAATTGTCTACCAGGGCTGACAATTAGCTAATGACTTTTTTTTTTCAGTTCACTAGAAGTGTGGCTGATTATGTGCTTCTGCCCCAAAATGCTTGCTAAACAAAAAGGTCACTTTTCACACAGCATTTCTAGCAGAGGAGGGACCTTTGCAAACAGTATTTAGCCCTTGCCTGCAACTCCTCTGCAGCTCTTCTCCTTACTTTTGCTAAGCCTTTTCACTGGGAATGTTGTTCCTTAACTCCTAAACTTTTATAGTTGCTCAGCTGTTGAGGCTATGCCATCCATTGTCTCTCCAAGGTTCTTCAAAATAGTGCTTGCAGAAGTAGCTGCTAGTCTCCTATTTTATAACAAGTACTCTATTGAAGATCAATTTTGTGTTCTGGATAGGCCCCTTAGGATTATTATTTTTTGCAGTCTGTCTAATAGAAACATGGGGTACAAAATGAATCCTCCAAAAATTACTTCTGGTAGTTGTGAAATTAGAGGATCAGGGTGAAGAGAACCAAAAGAGAAAATCTTGATACTTAATTGTGACAGGTAATATATACTTAGAAACAAGGAAATACAAATGTTTTAGCAGCTCAATCTTCTATACTGTTGGTAGAATATTTGTCCCTTAGTTTATATTGTAAATGCGAAGTACAGAATGCCTAAGCTGGCAAGTACTTCGCCTGGAAGTACTCTGACTTTTCAATATTATAATTATCTTCACTTCTGTGCAATCCAACATTCGCCACTGAATGTACCTGTTAGCATAATTGCATGGCAAGCTACTTGACATCAGTTGCAGCGAAGGGCAAACCTGCTTAATGGAGTTGAGTGTATATTTTCTTACAGATAATTAGTGATAATGAATAATAATTATCAGTGTCACTGTCACCTTTCAGTGCAATGAGTACTTCAAACAATGTTCTTCTTATATCAGCCATCCTCAGTCTGAGTGTCTCCAAGCATTTTGGAGTTCACCTCCATGCTTACTCAACCAAGATCCCAAAGAGGAAGGCTGTCCTTACGTTGAGACTGCCACTGAGGCCTGAGCTTATGTGAGCTTTCTTACTCCATGTAATCTCTCATCTCTTGGTCCAAGAGTGACCACCTATCACAAAGTATGGAAAATCTGATGTACCTGCAAAAATGGAGTGGGATGTGAAATATATTTGGACTCCTATACATATAGTGTTGTTTATTTAGTATAGTTTTTCTCAATCTTAGCACTCTTTATATATGCCAGGACTAGTTACCAGAATTTCTCGCCACTATGACTAGAATGTCCTAACATGCTGGCTGGAAAATTCTGGGAGTTGAAATCCACACATCTGAGAGAACATGAAATATCCAGCCTTTTTGCTAAGATGCCCAATAAGACATAACTTTAAAACACTCAGGGCATAAAGTGCTGATGGAACCAGCTCTTTCTGGATATCAGTGCTTCAAGTAATTATGCACGATTATCTTCTCTAAAATCAGTTCTAGGATTATTTTCTTGAAGGAAAAGTTATGAAATCTTTAATTTGAGCTTTTTTCTGTACAGGGAAAAGATTCATATTTTTGATTCTGTACTTTTGGAATAATTTAACTATCAGTATTCTTTCAGAATAGCTCCTAGGAAGAAGATTGCCACACTGGAACTAATCTCTCTAAACTTCAAAATGTTGATCCGATATTGATAGCTCATCCCTTCCTCCCTCTTTGCAGACTCCAGTATCTTGGCATGAGTCAGAGGTGGGAAAAGTTGCAGATCATAAGCGATCTGCCTCATGGCATAATATGGATCATCGTAGAGAGGTAAGATAATCACTTGATATGTCAAGTGCCATTTATCTTACCACTATGTAATGTGCAAAAATGATTAAATTGCCAGAGTTCTTCTTTTTTTAGCAACATTATTTTCTATTCTTTTCTGTAAAACAAGAATGGTTACTCTTCAGGTAGGTTTAGTGCAGGTAGGTTTATTTTATTTTTTTAATTTATCTTAAAAATCATACATTCTATTCACACTCAATGTTAAGCTAATTGTAGAAGCGCACTTTATGATCACTCTTTAAAAGAGAATATAACACAAAATCAGAACTGATGACCCTTAAGAACAGGGATTCAGAGATGAAATTTCTTTACAAGATTTAAAAAATTAAAACATTAGATTTCCTATGCTCTGATAACCTTATCTGCATATATTTATTTTTGTTTATTTGTCTATTACCTAACGAACACTGGGATACTTGGTTTTGTCTATCATACTTTTCAAGGCCTTACGAAAACCAAATACATAATAAAAAATTTAAAAAATACTTTAAACCATAATAAATCAGTAGCATTTCACAAAGAAGAATTCCTGAGGTAATAATGATGGAGTTCAGTAAAACTAGCAAGCCTTGAAATGTCTATACTCCTTCTCTCTGCAGTTGATCAGAGAGAGTGCAATCCTCCAGAACTGCCTGGACACCATTTAAATGAACAGAGGAATTGCCCACCATCAATACATCTGTCTTTTATGGACTGCATCTCAGTTTATTAATTTGTTTGGTCTACTGATTAAGACACCAAACTAGAAACTGGGAGCCTGTGAGTTCTAGTCCTGCTTTAGGCATGAAAGTTGGCTGGGTGTCTTTGGGCCCAGTTACTCTGTCTCAGCCCAACTCAACTCACAAGGTTATTGTTAAGGGAAAAATGGGATAAAGAAGGAGTATTAGGTATGCCTGCAACCTTGAATTACTTATAAAAATAATAATGGTGGAATAAAAATAAATTAAAAAACAAACCTCATCCATTACTCTACGTAAAACTAGTAACTTTTCATTCTCTAGATTGCTAAACTGAAGCAACAGCTCCAGCGAACAAAGCTTGCTGTTTGGAATAGCAAAGAGAAAGACCAGAGCTTTTCCACCCAAGGCAATCATAGCATGGCCCCATCAACCAAGGTATCTTCTTCTTTTTGGCATCTTTTCTGTAATGTTCCAATTAGAAAATGGCAGGAAGCAGAAACTCTCTCGGACTGAGGGAAGGAAAGTTTTATTGAGATTTTTTCTTTTTGTCTAAAGCAAGTATTCAATTCTAAATGGCTTGTATAGGGAAGCTGGAGCAATTATTCTCCTTCAACTTAAGGCATAATATAAGGAATATGGGTATTTTTGTATGTCTGTTATTATATTGGCACTGTGTATTGAGATTGTGCATGACTTCTTTTTAAAGCTTCACTAGAATTCATAGTTAAGATGCAGCATGAACAGGGGTCTGCAACCTTAAACACTTAAAGAGCCATTTGGACCCATTTCCCACAGAAAAGAAAACATCGGGAGCCACAAAACCTGGGTGGGCATGGCTAACTCGACGTTACTCATTCCCACCCAGTCACATGACCTCCCCCCAGCCTTTATATCTGGTAACTAGGGCAGAGAACTGTTAACTTATATGCAATGCCCAGCTCACCGAAGCCTCCCCTCCCAGCCACCTCTTGTTACACCTGTCCTCACCTCCCGACTAATCACCTCAAAGGCTTCAACATATTTATAGTTCTGTAAAAATATTGTTCATCTTTCTCTCTCCCCCCCACCCTTTCTTTCAATGTGTTGATGAGCAAAATGGCAAAACTACTTTTAGGGAAACATTTCACTCTTAAAATACACAACATCTCTCTCTCTCTCCCTCCCTCCTCCCTCTCCTTCTCCATATCTCTTTCCTTCCTCTCCCACCCCCCTGCCTCTCTTTCTCTCTCTCCCTCCCTCCTCCCTCTCCTTCTCCATATCTCTTTCCTTCCTCTCCCACCCCCCTGCCTCTCTTTCTCTCTCTCCCTCCCTCCTCCCTCTCCTTCTCCATATCTCTTTCCTTCCTCTCCCACCCCCCTGCCTCTCTTTCTCTCAATGAGTTGATGAGTACAATGGCAAAACTACTTTCAGGGAGACATTTCACTCTTAAAATGCACAACATCTATCTCTATCTCTTTCTCTCTATCTCTCTCCCTCCCTCCCTCCATCCTTCCCTCTCCTTCTCCATCTCTCTTTCCCTTCCTCTCCCACCCCCCGCATCTCTTTCTCTCAATGAGTTGATGAGCAAAATGGCAAAACTACTTCCAGGACTTTCAGGGACACATTTCACCTTTAAAATACACAACATCCCTCCCTCTCTCTTTCCCTCTTCCCTCTCTCTTGTCTCTCTTCTTCTCTCTCCCTCTCTCTCTTTCCCTCCCTCCCCTCTTCTTTCATGGTGGGGGGGAATGAACCCCTGAACTGGTGCTTGGTGGTGGGACTCTGATGCCAGAGGCCAACGAGTCCAGCAGCAGCACAACGATGATCAGCTGGCTGGTGGGGAGACAAGGCATCACAACACTGGCAGCTCTGCAGGAAAAGCAACTGACATTCGGGAGGCAAGAGTGAGCCAATGACTACATAAGGTCCCATTGGGACTCCGTGTTGTAATGGGCTCCAGGAGGAAGGGAACCAGTCTCCCCCATTGTGAAGCATGCTGCTGCACAAGGCGCTGCAAGAGCAGCGGGCAGGCCATGGAGGCCGCAACAGCAAATGTACCACGACAAAGGCTACGGCCATCATCACCATTGCAACAGGGCGACAGCTCCTTCATCCCTCTGCTGCAACAGGGCAACAGGGAGCCATAGCCGGGGGGGGGGGGGGTGAAAGAGCCTTTTGCAGCTCTGAAGCCATGGGTTTCTGACACCCAAAGTAGACACATCAGATTATATCAGCCATATCTTTACCAGTCCATTTCCCAGTTCTCTCGCAATTACCATTTTCATTGAAAATTAGAGGACAAAGGTCTATTGCTCAGTGTAAGAATCTTATTGATATGCAGGTGGTCCTAGCCTCAGTGTCTGAAGCAACATCTGTAAGAACAATTGGCTATATTTACATGAAACAAAAAGCCCTACACAAAGCCAACCATATATTAGCTTAGCTATAGTATGTGATCCCTGCAGGTAAATTATAATTCAGCATGTTGCAAAAATTTGAAAAATTGGAATGACATTAGCAAGTATAGTCCATTAACTCATGAAATAAGAGCAGCTGTCAAGCTATTGGGGATCAGTGGAGTAATTGCCAAATTTTAAAGTACTTCGTATGTTCATAACAGTTGGGGGCGTGCTGATCCACAAAATTATGTACTATCCATCCACCTTGGAGAATATTCTATGCTTGCACCAAGGTGTTAGTGGCTTCTTGATACAACACTGCATGTCCTTGTTTGTAGGGTACCCCATTTGCATCTTTTCCAGCCCCGAGCACTGTATCGAGCAGCTCTTCTTTGCACAACAGTTTGGAGAGTATCAATCAGGAATTGGAAGAGATATTTGTAAAGGAGCAAGGAGACGAGGAACTCCTCAGAGTGAGTTATGGCTGGTGGGGTGAGATATGAGTGTAACCTTATCTGGAACTCAGAACATGTCAATTTTTTGCTGGATGTTTACACAGTCTTCGCTGCTAATTTTAATTACCAAACTCCTATCCAAAAACAAGGGCATGCTTTTCCATGCATGATTTGGATTCTCTACTTTGAAATTTGTATAATGAGGAAAGGGAAGTTCTGGCTGTCAAAGTTTCCTCTAGCTATGAAGAACAAATATATATTTCATAGAGAAATACACTGCATTGTCCTTCACAGGCAAATGCGTAAAGTCCACTTTTGAGGACAAATTGTGTTTTGTTTTGCAGGAGATTGTGATGATTCTGAGATAGAACTGCCAGTTAGAAAATAGCAACTGTGGGCATCGCACTGTGTAGCCCAGCAGAGAGAAGGAACTTGGAGAACGGAATCTTGGGGAAATGGGTTGAAACCCAGGTCTGAAAGAGATTCCAACCTGAATCTCAGCCTGAGAATACTTAGCACTGTTTGGGAGTCAAAGTTAAAAATTATTTTAGGGTTCTATGCTTATATTTACAAGGTACCATATTTTTCAGAATATAACATGCACTCCTCCCCCCCCCCCATCCACAGAAGTGGGTGGAAATGTCTGTGCATCTTATACAGCGAATGTTATTGAAGTCCCACCTACCTGCCACCCCCGCATCCTTCAGCTTCTGCCTCCCAGCAATTTGCTTCCTTGCAGGAAACAGCAAACAGTCCGGTCAGCTTCAGCACAGCCTGATTTAGCACAAGCAGCTCATTGGCGGTTGGATCTGCCTCCCAGAATACCATCAATCAGCTGTTCCAGGCTACGGAGATTGCCGCTGTCCATTGGCATCAATGCTACCCATTGCCACTGCCACCTATCACGGCCTCCACGCACCCCATTTTTGGATCTCCGCACATACCTGTATCAGCCTCCGCGGTGCCAATAGGCGGCAGCAATCCCCACAGCCTGGAACAGCTGATTGGTGATATTCGGGAGGCCGATCCAACCACCAGTCAGCTGCTTGTGTTAAATCAGGCTGTGCTGAAGCTGACCATGCTGTTTGCTGCAAGGAGGCAAATTGCTGGGAGGCAGAGACAGATTTTTTTTCTTGTTCTCCTCCCCAAAAGCTAGGTGCATCTTATACTTTGGAGCATCTTATCATCTGAAAAATACAGTATATATAATTAGCAAAATACAGTGGGGCAAAAAAGTATTTAGTCAGCCATCAATTGTGCAAGTTCTCCCACTTAAAAAGATGAGAGAGGCCTGTAATTGACATCATAGGTAGACCTCAACTATGAGAGACAAAATGAGAAAACAAATCCAGACAATCACATTGTCTGATTTGGAAAGAATTTTTTTGCAAATTATAGTGGAAAATAAGTATTTGGTCAATATCAAAAGTTCATCTCAATACTTTGTTATATATCCTTTGTTGGCAATGACAGAGGCCAAACGTCTGTAAGGCTTCACAAGGTTGGCACACACTGTTGCTGTTATGTTGGCCCATTCCTCCATGCAGATCTCCTCTAGAGCAGTGATGTGTTGGGGCTGTTGCTGGGCAACACAGACTTTCAACTCCCTCCAAAGGTTTTCTATGGGGTTGAGATCTGGAGACTGGCTAGGCACTCCAGGACCTTGAAATGCTTCGTACGAAGCCACTCCTTCGTTGCCCGGCGGTGTGTTTGGGATCATTGTCATGCTGAAAGACCCAGCCAAGTTTCATCTTCAATGCCCTTGCTGATGGAAGGAGGTTTGCACTCAAAATCTCATGATACATGGCCCCATTCATTCTTTCCTGTACACGGATCAGTCGTCCTGGTCCCTTTGCAGAGAAACAGCCCCAAAGCATGATGTTGCCACCCCTGTGCTTCACAGTAGGTATGGTGTTCTTTGGATGCAACTCAGCATTCTTTCTCCTCCAAACACAACAAGTTGTGTTTATACCAAACAGTTCTACTTTGGTTTCATCTGACCATATGACATTCTCCCAATCCTCTTCTGGATCATCCAAATGCTCTCTAGCAAACTTCAGATGGGCCCGGACATGTACTGGCTTAAGCAGGGGGACACGTCTGGCACTGCAGTCCCTGGCGGTGTAGTGTGTTACTGATGGTAGCCTTTGTTACGTTGGTCCCAGCTCTCTGCAGGTCATTCACTAGGTGCCCCCATGTGGTTCTGGGATTTTTGCTCACCATTCTTGTGAACATTTTGACTCCACGGGGTGAGATCTTGCGTGGAGCCCAAGATCAAGGGAGATTATCAGTGGTCTTGTATGTCTTCCATTTTCTAATTATTGCTCCCACAGTTGATTTCTTCACACCAAGCTGCTTGCCTATTGCAGATTCAGTCTTCCCAGCCTGGCGCAGGTCTACAATTTTGTTTCTGGTGTCCTTCAGCTCGTTGGTCTTCACCATAATGGAGTTTGGAATGTGACTGTTTGAGGTTGTGGACAGGTGTCTTTTATACTGCTAACAAGTTCAAACAAGTGCCATTAATACAGGTAATGAGTGGAGGACAGAGAAGCCTCTTAAAGAAGAAGTTACAGGTCTCTGAGAGCCAGAAATCTTGCTTATTTGTAGGTGACCAAATACTTATTTTCCACCATAATTTGCAAAAAAATTCTTTCCAAATCAGACAAAGTGATTGTCTGGATTTGTTTTCTCATTTTGTCTCTCATAGCTATGATGTCAATTACAGGCCTCTCTCATCTTTTTAAGTGGGAGAACTTGCACAATTGGTGGCTCACTAAATACTTTTTTGCCCCACTGTAGATATATCTGTTCTAAACACCATTATTAGTTTCTTAATAGAAACTAATATGTTCAGTACGTTCCTATGTTAACCAACCAATGTCTTCCCTGCCTTCCATTCAGTTACAATAAATTACAGCAGTGTTTGCTAACATCAGCAACTATAATATACGCAAATTTCAGCTTCTAGATTTCTTAACGATGGCAATGGGGGCCGGGAGATTTTAGGATTAAAGTTCACATATCTTAAAGTTGCTGGTGTTGAATAGAATTTTTTTTAAAAAAATTGAATTCTCCAAGGGGTTTTATTGATAGCAGCAAAACAAAGGGGTTCCAAAAATACACACAAATACCTCCAAAGCAGGGAGGTTTTGCAATAGAACTTATAATAGTGTCCCTATGAGAAAAAAATAAGTCTCCAATGATTTCTTAGTAAAGTGTGGGGGGGAGGAGTAGGAGAGTTTTTTCACATACACCTGCAGGGCATTTTGTCCTTATTGACTCTTTTCAAAGGTTGTGTCCAGTACTGGTAGCAAATACTGACCTAGGCCACCCTCGTTGAGGATTGATAAATATGGTCTTTAACCTTCTGCTGTCTTTTTCACAAAATTGAATTAGAGTGCTTTAGTTATTGCTCACTTATAAAAGCATATCACATTTCTGTCAAATTTCATCATCATCGCACCTCACTCTTTGCCTTACACCAAATCTATTATTGCCATCTAATCTAAATTATGGATAGTCCTATCTATGGGATATGATATATGTGGGGGAAATTATTTTTATTCCTTTGAGTTTTCTAGCTCTCTGCCCTTCATACCATTATTTCTGAAGCATATCTATATTTCATCAAGTTATGAAGGAGCTAGCTTCATTTAGTTTCTCTTCTCCCTAAATAATTTTTATTGGTAACTATATAAGACTGCTTATAGACTATACTTTTGCCAATATTTATGTTATATAAATTGCTAGAGTGATGTTTTGGGAAGAAGAGGGATAAAATGGTTTAAATATTTTAAAACGTTGTCTGGGTCTCCCCATGACTCTGCTCATTCCTGCCTGCTTCTTTGGGTGTGCTTTCTTTTAGGTCTTGGAGGTACCAGATGGGCACAGAGCTCCACTTCCTTTCCAAAGAAATACTGAAGATTCCTGGTTGCCACGACTGGAAAACAACAGTAGCCCCTGCAGCAGCCTTTCTCTTTCTCCATCCCCTTCAGATGGTCTTCAACAATCCTCACCTTCTCCTACCCGGATGATAACTGATGAAGATTTGCCCAGGTTTTTAGCAAAGCTAGTATTGGAGAACAAAGGTAGAGGTAAGTTGGTTAGGTTAGTAGCAATCTGCTGTTGTACAAAGCTTTGAAGGATTGAATTGGGTATGTGTGTGTTACTGGCTTGTTGTTTTAAATGGTCTTCAACGTTCAGCAACTGAGGGATGCATTCTGGAATGGTTAAGAATGAAAAAGAGATCTCTCTTATATGTAAACAAATATAAATAAAATTGCAGTTATGTTAGTGTAAACCAGGGATATCAAACTCGTGTTATGTGATGTATCATGACTCCCCACCCCCTCTTTACTAAACCGGGGGTGGGCATGGCCAGTATGTGATGCATCCAGCTTGAGGGCTGTGAGTTTGACACCCCTAGCATAAACAATTTGATCCAATTATTTCTATTGGATGGACAATGTTTTGACGGCTGGGGACTAAACATTTTGGATGTGGCCAAAATGATGATGCATAGTAGCTGGAAGACAAAATGTGGTTCCCTTCCCTTGGAATATTGGAGGTAATGTGATTTTTTTTCTTCTGAGTTTTATAAATAGTGAAGCCTATTTTAGAACAAGGGTTTTTCCCCCCACAAATTGCAAGAAGTTCTGCTATCAATTTTTGGCAACTGTGGGCAGAGGTTGCTCTGCAGAGTGTTACAAGGGCAAAGCTCCACCTGTTTTTTTTATGTGCATTGTGTGTCATGGCCACTACCTTCACTTTTTTTTAAACCATACCTTATGGACATCCTTGAAATGAGACAATGTTTGCTTCTTTCAGAACTGATTATTTTTTCCCATCAAGTTTTTCATATAAACATTCCAGTTTTTCTAATTTGAGTTTTTCTAATTGGGAGCTGCCCAGAGCTGGTTGAAAATGGGCAGCTTTATAAACGTTTTAAATAAATGATATCTGTCTGTCTGTCTGTCTGTGGTGGGATTCAAAAAAATTTACTACCAGTTCTATGGGCATGGCTTGGTGGGCGTGGCAGGAGAAGGTTACTGGAAAATCCCCATTTCCTCCCCACCCCACTAACCTGATTCCTAGTTCCGTTCTCCTGTGCAGGGCAACAAAAGAAGACCCAGCCAATCAGCTGGGACTCAGGAGGCAGCGAATAGATCGGGGGCAGGGCCATCTAAAGGTGGTATTTGCCGGTTCTCCAAACTACTCAAAATTTCTGCTACTGGTTCTCCAGAACTGGTCAGAACCAGGTGAACACCACCTCTGCTATCTACCTATCTGCTAGATAGGCAAACTGCTTTGGCAGCCTGTCCCAAATCCCGTGAAATCCATGATACCATTTCATTTCTGTATTTCAGTTGTATCAGATATATAACTCTACTTGTATGTAGTTCTATCTGAGGAACATAAATCCTGCTGGTATATGATAAAGGTAGCATATTAACTGAGCTTTCATTGTTTCTAAGTTTATTTGACTGAATCGGTTCTCTTCCCTAATTTTCCTCTTTCAGAAAATGGCAGCACTTCTCCAGACCTTTCTTTTGCCCTGTCTCCTCATCCCAACCACACCTATGTATTCAAGCGAGAGCCTCCAGAGGGCTGTGAAAAAATCCATGCTTCTGAGGAAGTAGTGTAAGTAAGAGGCCACCTTTAATGTTTGCAACTACAGATGATAGAGCAAAAAATTGCAGGTCAAGTACAGAACTGCCCTCCATATAATGCTGATAAAAGTAAGAACCAATTCTGGATTGCATGCAAACAACTCCACAAAGCACTGATAGCCATGTATTTGTCATCTTTATACTAAATGTCTTTCAAAGAGATTGTCTTACAATCTGCCCACATCTTATTCTTATAGTAATCTTGAGAGAAAAGCTGATCTTAAGATCAGGATTGATTCAAGGTAGTCTTGTTCTCTCCACTCCTGCTCTGATGACGCCTATTTTGCTAAGTACATTGCTATGCTACGCATTTCAAGTGCAAAGCAAACAATAATAAAAACAAAATGTAGGTGTTATCTGATTTCTAATATACGTTTTTTTAAAAAAAAATCATTTAGAAATCTTTTCTGTTCTAGCTCATCAACCCATAATCTAACCCATTTGTGGTGTGGACTGAGTTTATTCTGAGACAAGGTTAGAGGAGAGTTTCAAATGTATGAATGCAATCCATCTATTTGTTTCATTGCCAAATCAGTTCAATGATTCTATATACAAAATTGATTTGGGATGATAATATTTAGGGTTGAAAAGTAATTAGATGCTTTGATACTTGCATTCTATTTCTTTCTTGGCAATCATAGTGTCTTTTGGATGGACTACTGTGCACATTAGTGGGTTTATGACACTGTAATAAAGAATTTGTACATTGTAAACTGAAAACGTTAAAATCCGGTAATGTTTTCCCAAAAAGCACCATGTCTGTTGCACCAGGCTCTTAGTGAGCAGCTCCCACTTTTTTGCTGAAAGACACAACAGTCCATGCTTATTTTTAAAAAATGTCTTCTTGTACTGTCATCCTGTAACCTATCAAAATCTAAAATAGTTGTTAGCATTAATTCTTACATACCTTTTAATTCTGATTTTTATTTTTAGGCCTGATCAGCCTGTCCTGCCTTCTTGTCCTGATAAGAACAAAGTCTACTTCAAACCAACAGGCTCTGCCTTCTGCCAGTTTAGTCTGGTGAAGCCTCTTATTCCCAAAGTAAATATCCCGTACAGAGACTTCTCTTCCTCTCCCAACCCAAAGTCCTCAGGCACATTTCCTTCTTGCCAAGCCACTACCGCTGTCCCCATCCTCACTCTACAGAAAGACTTGAGTGGAGACAACTTCAGTGAAAATCCAAAATCTCCTTCATTAGGTTTGGAGTCCTGGAAACGGCACCAACCTGAAGACGCTGCCCTCTTTCATAGTTCTGTAGCTGTCTGAAGAACAGGGAGTGGAGTAGAGGCAAAATAAATTCATGGTCCTTCTAAGGCCTGTACAAAAAAAGTGCCTTGATGCTGGGAAACTGAGGGATCCCAGCAACAGCCTTAAAGTAAAGATTGCTATTGGACTCCTTTCAAGGAGCACTTCTTTCCTTAAGCATCTCTGTCAATGTCGTTCTGCTACTCTGGTATCCAAAGAGCAAAGATAGCATCTTCTCATTTGGAATACATAAGACAGTTAATTACAAGGATTGTCTTTCTCTCTGCTTGCTGTGTGAGGCAAGAGCTCATTGACGGTGTTTAAATGTTCCTAGAGATGTTTCTCAAGGTTTCTACAGAATAGAGTATATAATGAATATAAAATGCCAGAACTTATGTATGCTGATTGAACAGTTGATGTTACTGGGTAAAAAACTGAGCAGAGTAGTGTTTCATGGGGTCTCAAGTCTGCAAAACCCTGTTAAGATTCTTTTCATATCTTGCTCTGCACTGTATGGCACTCACATCACTGGAATACAATCAGTTAAATGCTTTGAAGTATTTTCTTTCCTAATGATTATGCCGCACCAGATAATTGAGTAAGTAAATTATTCAAGGTGTGTCTTAGAGATAATGATCTTGAGTCCCTTCATAAGAAGGAACAGCAAAGGAGGAATGTCCTATTTGTGGTTTTTCCAAATGGACCTCCTAAAATTATTATTTTTTTCAAAGAACTTTTCAAAATGAAATTGAAGCCCAAGCCATTCTTGAGGGATGCAGCTGCCAATGGAACATATTATTTTTCTTTATTATAATAAATTGAACTCGGCAGTTGCCTCTTGACACTACAACCCTTTTAGCCCATGAGTGGAAATACACTCAGCTTTTTATTCATTTTAAGAAGACTCCAAAGATCCTATGTTCACCTACATCTTCATCTTATACCTCTAGCAACCCCTTCAGTAGAAAGGCCTTAAACCTGGTGATGCCTTGATTTGTGTATTTGGAAGTCATATTTTGTTCTTAAGTTTATGGATTGTACTAGGAGGGTTTTATGAAATTGAGAGAGAAACTATATTTTCTTTTGAAGACAGTATTTTTGCAGCTACTTTTGAAGTTTTTTGTAAATGTTAATGTACTGTATGCACCATGAAAAGCTTAATGAAACAATCTTAGCCTCAGAGGTTCATTGCATCTTGAATTGAAAGGTTTTTTTTGCAGATTCTTGGTGTTTAAACAATTAAAATAACCATAAAAATTTTGAGTATCAAGTATGTTTATACTGCATTATGTTTAAAAAAAGGAGAAGGTAATGGTAAAATAGCTTGGATTGATTTTCATATTTGCAGTTGTATTATTTATAGCTTTACAAAACCGAATGAGAACTGTCTAAAGGATTGAGTGGTGATATATTATCTATCCCTATCTCAGATACATTAAGCTATTACTTTTTTCATTTAGCCACTGGTAACATTTAAAATTTTGAGAATGTTTGTGCTTACACTCAGAAAATGTCTGTATATTCATACTGGCTGCCATGATAAACAGGCCAGTCATAAAACATCCAGTTACCAGAAGATAAATTAGTATGGTTTTTCTTGCTGGTTATATAGCCCCTGCAATATACCATCCTTGTAACTTAACTCCCCTGCCCAGGCTAGATCTTTGTTAGCCTCCAACCACTTTGTTTTAAGAACACCAAAGAATTTGCAAATAAGAATGGTATTGTTCCCTAATGCATAAGTAACAAACAGGAGAAAGCCTAACTTTGAATAAACAAGACTTAAGTTTCACAGAAACCTAATGGGATGAGAATCAAGAGTGGAACACAATATTCATAATATATTATTTGTTCAAAAGAACTAGAACAAAAAGATGGAGTGGTTTTTAGGGAATTTTTTTTTAAAGCCATATGCCTGGAAAGAAATTAAAGTCCCTCAATATCCCGTTGAAGATATCGGGATAAAATTAAAAGAGGAAGAAATAAAAGGGATACTCCATTGTAGGAATTTCTTATAGGCCATTTATTTATGTAAATTCCATTTTTTAATCCTGCCTTTATTAATTTTACAAATAACTTGAGGGAGTGAACTTATCTAATATTCCCTCCTCCTATTTTCCACACACTAGCAATCCTGTGAGGTGGGCTGAGAGTGTGTGACTGGCCCAAAGCCACCCAGGTGGCTTTCATGCTAAGATGGATCTCCCACATCTCCAGGTTTCCAGCCTGGTACTTTAGCCAATACATCTGCCTGTTTTTTTTAATCCAGTAGACTATGTGAACAATGCCTTTGTAATCCAACTCATCATGTTATAGTGGTAATAACTCATCTTTTGCAGAAAATTAGCAGCAGCCACAAATATGTAAGTTTATTATCTGCTTTGCTGAGAATTGTATTTTTCAGATGATGAAAGAAGAAACAAGGGGGCTAGCTATCTAATAGGAATTAAGAGGGCAAAAGGAGACAGAGAAAATCATGTTGGGTTCAAATTACCTACTACTAGTTTAACTGCTGAGAAGTCATTCATGTATCTTGGATTCCAGGAAAGCAGATTTTAAAAAGATAAACAAATACTAGGTCTTAAAATTATAATTAAAGAAGTTAGAGGAATTGGAGAGCCTAAAAATGTATGCACAGACTTGAACAATCCCCATTAGGATTTAAAATTTTAAGAAAGCTACATGGATAAATAGCAACCTCGTTGCAGTTTGAAAAGTAAAAAGATTTTTAGAGAATACTAACCAATAACCCGACATTGTCCAGAAATTTATTTATAGGGAGAAAATGTCTGGACCAAATGTAATTTCTAATGTTGGATTTCCCCCTTACCAGATGGAGCCCCTTTGTGGAGTACCGTGAAGCCGTAACCATGGCAATACCACTGCGCTGTACAATAAAAGCTAGTATGGCAATACAGTACAACAGGCTGTATCTTAACAGAATCCCCCCCCCCCCCGGGAGGGGTGTCTTACCCCACAGTATTTTTCTCCAGAGGGTGTCATCTATATACCAAGTTTGGTTGAAATTGCTGAGGCGTTCCAGAGTTATGCTGGAACATACACACACACATAAACAAACACACACACAACCATTTATATACCAGTAGATAGATGATAGGTAGGTAGGTAGGTAGGTAGGTAGGTAGGTAGAGACAGACAGACAGACAGACAGACAGACAGACAGACAGACAGACAATTCTAGTATCTTAAGCCAGCAGCAATTGTGCAGGCTTTATGATAGTGTCTAGTTTGGTATCCCAAAGTTATCACTATCGATAAAATGGATTGATGTGGGTTAGACTGTTTTGCACTCATAGATTTGGAATTGACTGAACCACACTCCAAGAATGTTAGTAAATGGCTTTGCAACAATACTTAAGGGGGGAAATAGTAAAGTGGCCTATGTTCTTAATCCAGTGCTATATTTATAAAATAACATTCTGAACAGATGTTTATCATATTAGCATATGATATCAAGCAGGGTAAATTAAAATACTTTGAAGGTCAAAATCACAATTCAAAATAATAGTTGAACAATGCATGAAATCTAAGGATGGTCCATCCAGGTAGGAAAATCAATTTTATGGGTACAGGATTAAAGAAATTTAGCTTGGTGACTGCATATGAGAAGGAACTATCATTAGAATGCCACTGAATCACTTGTTAAAACATCGGCAATCAATGTGACAGCAGCAAAAAACATCCAGTGCAGTCTCAATTGCAGAACCAAAGCAATTAGTCCAGATAATAACAGTTGAACTTTCATTGGATGTGTCTGTTGTATGATGTCCAACTTTGGCTGGACAGGATCAAATGAGGTATCAAGAAGTCTGATAATTAAACCCTATGAGAAATAGTTAAAGGAGCTTGCATAAGAAAAGTCCAGAGCAATGTTTCTCAACTTTTGCTAATTTTGAAATGTGTGGCTGGCTAGGAATTTGGGCAGTTGAATTGAGAAGCTGCTCTAGAGCAGGGATTTCAAACTCGATTTTATTGAGAGCTGCATCAGGGTTGTGTTTGACCTTGGGGTGGGGGGTTGTGTGTGGCTGAGGTGTGGGGTGGTCACTCATGTCAGTGCGTGTGGTGGCCCATGCAGGGCTGGGGAGGAATCCAATGTCTCTAATGGAGAAAGGTGAGACCAGGGAGAGTGCCAAACCCTTGTCCTCCTTGCCATCCCTTAGGACTTCTAATCCTAACCCTCTCTGTTTCTTCTGCAACCCTCTACCAACGAAAACAGAGCTCCTCTAACCCTCTGCCAGCTGGTAGAGGCATCGTGGACCGGTCCTTTGCTGTTTCCAGGGCAGCCCTGGGGGCCAGACCTAAGCACTCCATGGGCCATATGCAGCCCACAGGCCTTGAGTTTGACACTCCTGCTGTAGGGAAAGGTAGAGTGGTTTGCAATATTTAAAAAAGGTTGCCAAAGGCAAACTTGGTCCCATTGAAACTGAAAGCAGAGCAAGAATCAATAGATCAGCACTTCACTACACCGTGGTAAGTCCTGGCTATGGTGGGGTCCTCTATATCCAGGAGCCAATCATCTTTGACCTTGGATGTGGTTGCATTACTCCAGACAGACTCAGTGCACAACCTGGGGGAGTCTCTTGAACTCACAACTCTTAGTTAACTTTAGTTTACTTTGTCATTGCATATGGTACAACGAAATTAAATGCCATCTTCAGTATACATTACAATTATAAAAATAAAACACAAGCATACATCTTTTACATTCTATATAATTGAAATTGAAAACCCAATATTGCATTATACCATAGAATTCAATATGGTTATTGCCCTGAGATAGAAGCTGTTTTTCAGCCTGTTTGTTCTTGTTTTTATTATCTTGTACCATCTGCCAAATGGTAATAGTTCAAAAAAAAAAAAAAAGTGCCCAGGATGAGATGGCTCTTTGAAATGTTTTGAACTTTCTTAAGGCAGCGGGAGCTATAAAGCTCTTCCAAAGAGGGGAAGGGGCAACCAATGATCCTCCGGGCAATATTGACCCTCTGGAATGCAGTCCTATCTGTCATTAAAATTGGCAAACCATACATAGATGCAGTAAGTTAGAATACTCTATCGTGCAGAGGTAGGTCAACAGCAGTTTTTCATTGTTTCTCGAGAAATCTCAGATAGTTTATTCTCTGCTGGGTCCTTTTGACCAGTGCTGCAATGTGAGAGCCCCAGGTAAGGTCCTTTTTAAAGATAACACACAGAAACTTAAAACTGGCCACTTGCTTCACTCAGTCTCCATTGATAAGCAAGGGCTGGATGTCTGATCTATTTCTTCTACAGTCCACTATAAGCTCTTTGGTCTTATTTGTGTTAAGGATCAAGTTATTGTCTCCACACCACGAAAGCAACTGTTACACCTCATCTTGATAGGCAGATTCATTCCCCCCCCCCCCCGGGGTTGAATCATCTGCAAATTTAGTAATAGTATTACTAGCATGGGTGGAAATGCAGTCATGCGCATAAAGACTTGCTTGAAGCCAGAACTGTTGCTTGACTCTGTTGTACACCAGTTATCCTTTTCTGGATAGGGAGATTCTCTGCTCAGTCACTCATGCCCTAGTCATTTCCCGTTCGGACTATTGCAATGCAATGTATGTGGATCTACTCTTGAAAGGTATACATATGCTTCGGCTTGTACAGAATATAGCCAAGTGAGCTATATTGAATGCCCAGAGGTGGTACCAGTTTGGTTCTGGGTCAAATTCAACGTATTGGTTGCAATATATTCCACATGGCATGGGGACAGACTACCATTTTTGTCCCATTACCAAGTAAGGTGTGCTGCAGACCTCATCAGTCAAAATTCTTTTAATTCTGCCATTGCTCCCCACCTTGTGCAATACTCTCCTTTATGAGGATGAGGCGTTGCCTGAAAGTTCACACAGCCATGGGGTTGGCTGGAGTCCAAAGAGCCCTCTTTCGACTTTTCAAATGATTTTTAATGGGCCATAAATATTCTTGCCTCCCTCTTAAAAAACTAATTTTGAAATTATATTTTGATATTTTATTGTGCACCACCCACAGTTATTCTTTGATGGAGATGGGCAGTAAGTAAGTAAGTATAAAATAAAATAATAAAATAAAATTAAAATAATAAAATTAAATTAAACTGTAAGCAAATAAAATCTGCTACATATGAAGCAATTTGCTAGAGGAACAAAGCGAATGCCCTTCAGGCAGCTTCGTTGCCATCTTTATTTCCCCGTTCGGCCCCCAACAACCGTTGCTCTCGGGAACGTCATTCCCACCCCTTCCCACCAGCAATGAAAACATGACACGAAGTTCGACTCGGCCGGGTAATCACGGCAGGCGCGTTTGATGACGTCTAAAACAATCGCCCTGTTCGTTCTAAGCCCCTATATAAATTCGTGGCGCGTAGAGGTGCCTTTCCAGCACAGAAAAGCAAACGAACACATAGCACTGCATGGTAAAAAGAAAAAAAAGGATGCCGAAATCCTTTTTTCGTCCGGCAGTTTCTCTTCAGCAGGGCTAGGCTAGTCAGGCAGCGTGCTAGATACCTCCACGTGGAATTGGAAAGGTCCTTTTTAGTACACGGCGCAGCCGCCTCTATGAGGCCCTCTTTTCCGCCACCGTCGTTGCCGGTGCGGGATGAGTGCGTGGAGCTATCACCACTGAGAGTATCTGGACCTGAAACTACTGCGCTGTCGGTCATGGGGACGACCGGCGGGTCAGGAGGCAGAGGGGCTTGGTTTTTCTCCGAACGGCTACGGTTGCCTGTCTGCTGTCTGGGTGTCTTCGTGTGTTACTTCTGGTACGGCGTCCTGCAAGAGACAATGTAAGTCACTTGAGGAGAACGCTTTTTTGCAGGGCTGGCAGGGATGCTTTTGGTTCTGGCTGGCGGAGACTTCACTGTATCCTCTGAGAAACCTCTTCCTTCCCAATTGCTGTCGTTCCTAATAGATATTGTCCCTTTGATCACTCCGTCTAAGCTCCTTATCTGATTAAAAAAACACTTGGGTTATTGTGACCGAGATAACGACATGCAGGTTCCCCATTCCTCTTTCGAAATCTGCTGTCGTTCTTTCTGACAGCCTCTGCTTCATTTTATCAAGATCATATTGTTAAATGTGCTATATCCGGACTATAGAAAAAAATCAGACTATCTACATAGCCGCAGAATTTACGGTAATCCAAATACGACCTATTGAATCAATGGATCCTGTCCAATTAAATCTAGAGTAAAAGTTTAACAGTTGTGCATCAGATAGAAATCCCATAGATGAGTATGATTTACTATTGCTTATAGTGGACAAAAACATAATTATACAGACTTTTTCCGTTTTATGGTTATTAAAAGTATAGAAATTTTCCTACAAATGGAATTTGGCAGTATATGTGTATTAATGCCTCACTGAGATTTTAAGCTATCTATTAGAGTTTATAGATGACCAATTGAAACTAAGGAAGGGGTTTCGGCTTGGTCACGTATCTTTCAGAGATTAGTGCAGTATTTTATAGCGAAGCACATTCCAGTCAGTTGTTTCTTTAAAAATAGAGCCCTAATTTTGTAACATTTGTTTATTATTTCTGTGTTACATGCAGAGATTTAACTGATCAGTAAAATGATTAAGGTTAATGGTTTAAAATAAATACAGAATTATATGTAATCTGTAATATAGCCTTAAGCTATAGTTCTTGCTGTACTTATTTAGGAATAACAATTGAACAGTCATACTTCACATAGAATTTCACTGTGCTAATAAAAAGTACTTTAAGTATGTTTGTGTTCAGTGAACTTAATTCCATTTTTTTCATATTGGGTTTACCTCAAGTCATTATTATTTTTAGAATTATTTACTTAAAAATATAAAAAGTAAATTACAATTTCGTGGTATAAAAATAAGTGCCGTTTTCAAGCTGCTCTAAAAAATGTGAGTTATAATAACTACTTTGATTTTTCTAGTTAATTTGTAAGAGGTTTGAGATTTTATATTACTCTTCCAATATAGGATTCTCTCTCTGATCTTAAATCATTTCTTTTTATTTCCTCCTCCACCTTAAACAGATGATATATGATCTTTCAATATATTTCTTTTGTTAGCACGCTGCTATCTAGTGGTCCTGCTGGGAAAATCTCATCAATATAATAAAAGCAATAATTTGCATATTCTTGTGAAAGGACAAAGGTTGTCCAACAAGGGCATTTTTTAGTGCTGAGTTTTCTTTTAGTGAATGTAACTTCCAGAGAAAAGATTGTAGATAATTGCCTTTGACTCATTGGTGGAACCTGTGGATGGGGACAAATGTTCTCTGAGTCTCGCAATTTTAAATCCATACATGAAAGTAGTGTGGATGCCTTTCTATGTATGGCATCTTTGGCAACTGATTCTTCCTCCTATGTGTTTTCCCCCCTACAGTACAAGAGGCAAATATGGGGAAGGAGCAAAGCAGGAGAAATTCAGATATGCTCTGTCTTTAGTCTTTATTCAGTGTGTGATGAATGCCATTTTCGCTAAGCTAAGTAAGTACATTAAAAAATAAATCAGCAAATTATCTGTTTTACATTTTCTTGATTCTGGATTCTGTTATAAGACTCCAAATCCAAACACCATTTGTGTGTATGTGTGTACACAATGTACTATAACTAGTGAAAGCTATAAGCAGGGCAGGAAAAACAAGGTGGTAGGCATAAGTTATATCATACCACTTTCTTGGTGTTTTTGAGAACCATGCTCCTTCCCACCAGAGGACACTGCTGGCTGTGATTTGATTTGCCTGGCTATTTCAAATTCATGCATAAACTTCAATCTCTCTTTTCTGCTGCTTATTGTGGCAGGAGTCATTGTTCTCTGGTGGTTCTTCTTAGAAAGAGAAGAATGGGACAACCATGCTAAAGAATTCATTTATTTCCCTCCCCTCCCTCCCATTCCACATTAAAAAAGACACTCTTCTCTAGCTATATCTATTGAAATCCATTGATGATTAGCATAATGGATGGGTAAATATAGAGAAGCATGCTGTTGTTTATGTGTTTTTAAAGAAAAGCTACATTAAAGAACAGCTATATTTTTTTCTTCTCATATGTTTTGTTAAAATGTATGAAAAATAATTTATGTGCTCTTATATTTCCCATCCCAATGAAAGCAGCACATTATATTTGGACAAAAGAAAAAAATAAAGTTATTTTCTCCTTAATTACAACATATTGCCCATTCCTTTTCATTCTTCATCGGAATCCTCTCAAATATATGTTTGTAAATTCCTTTACTTTTTATTGTCCCCTTCTACTGCTGCAGGCAAAATGACAATAGAAAATAATAATTTGCAGAGACATGTGGGGAGTTAGAGATTTGTACAGATATCTCTCGTACCTTACTCTTGGCATTTTCTTGAGTGTCCCTTCCTATCAAAATTTCATTAATATGTTTATGCAGGGTTATTGAACTAACTAATTTTGTGAATCTCCATGATACATAGCACTGAAAAGTAGCCACAATAGATAAATCTGATTGCCTCCTTTGTGTTTAAACATAACCACAGGTAAGAGGCATAGTCCTTTTTAATTTTCCCCCTATTACTTAATTGTAGTTGGAGATTAGGTAAAATTAAGTATTCTACATACATATTACAATTAGAGGTATGCTAATCATTTTGAGTTGAACTGCTTCCTACCCAATGTAATTGTCTGACTATACTGTAAATGTTCTGCTATTGTTTTTTGTTTAACCTTATAGGATGTTCTGAGCCTAAAACAACAAACTCAGAACAACTGTACAGCAGGTAATTCAGGTAGTCCTCAACTTATGACGATTCATTTAATGACCACTGAAAGTTAGATGCTAAAAAAGTGCCTTATGACTGGTTCTTGCATTTATGACCATCTTAGCATCCTTGTATAGGGAAAAGCCAATTTGGGCCCTTCACAGTCATGTGATCATTTTCTTAGTCAGCCTCCTAGAAGTAAAGGCAAAAAGCAAAATAGGATTTGCTTAACAGTCACAGTGGTTTGCTTAAAAACCATGTGAAAATAGTCATAAAACTGAGTGTAACTCCTTTAATGAGTTGCACCACTTAGCAACAGAAGCTCCAGTCTAAATTGTGGTTATAAGACGAGGGATGTCTATAGGTCTGAAGAGCACCCACTTTTTCTTTCATTTTTTTACTGGCTGCTCCTAACATCAAACTTATTTACATCTTCTGGAAAGAAAGCATTAAAGAATACTGGTGGGGGATCACATATAACACAAGTCGTCTTCAAATTACAATCATAACGGAGTCTGCCCATTATAGTTGGAAGCTGTGACATCCTTTAAGTGACCCATTTCACTTAATAAATCCCCATCCCTGCTTTCCCTGATGCAATTGTTAAATGAACATGCAGGTCATTAGGTGGAACATGGGGTTCTTGGGCGAGTACTTGAGACCTACTTCAGGCACAACCCAAACTGCTTCAGATCTCCCAAGGCTTCTTCCCCCACACTCCAAGATATCACATGCCTCACTTCCCACCTTGGGAGTTCCCACAGCTGCTTGGCCAGCCTACTCTCCTTTCCCCTGTTAGAATCACATACTTTTGCAGACCCCCAAAGTTCAGGGAGTTGGGGTAGGGAAGTGGGATAGGCCATTCTGTTGCTGGGCCACATGGCAAAATCAGTAAGTGGCAGTCTTTTTCTGAGTGCAGCCATAAACTGCTTTGAACCAGTAACCTATGCAGCCCAGCAATGAAGCAGTTTGCAGCTGCACAGCCTGATCATGGAAGGACCAGCTTGGAAAATGACAACCACTTATAGAAAAGAAAAGCTCCCTTAAATGGAGGTCTGTTTTGCTCTGCCTGCATTAGTGAGCTCTTTAGGATCCAAACCTTAATCCACCAGTAAAGACAACTGGCTCCCCTTCCTGATTAGCACTGTGTTAGCACAATGGGGAGGGAAAGCAGCTTTCTTTGCCAGTGAATAAAGGTTTGGCTCCCAAACAACTCAGTAATGCCATTGGAGCAAAATGGACATTCCTATATATGAAGAACTTACTTTTTCTTTGGAAAACGAAACACTCTGCTGCTCCCACAAGTGACTGTCATTTTCCAAGCCAATGCTTCTACAATCACACCGTGCACCAGCACAGGTTGCAGGGTCAAAGTGTTTATAGCTGCACACAGAAAAAGATAGCCATGTGGCCCAGCAGTGGAGCAGCCTGCCATTCTTTCCTACCCTGACTACCTCAGCTCTGGAGATCCTTGAAAAGTAAGTGAGTGATTGGTGACCAAAGTGGGGAGGACTATGTGGAATCTAGCGGGGTAGCAAAAGCAGGCCTTTGCTTGGTGGGGCAGGATGGGTAGTGGAGGTGATTAGGCCGGTGGGGGCATCCTGGAGAGTCTTTGCAGTCAGTGATACGGCAAATGACTGTGATGGTGCTGTAGCATAACAGTGTTAACCTTTGAGAGGTCTCTTGTAATTTTTCATGGTCTTAAGTGATTGGTCGTAAGTTGAGGACTTTCTGTATTCTCTTTGGCTGAAAGAATTCTTGCCAGGAAAAGATTTAAATTTAATTTTAGCTTTATTTCATTTTTATTTGAATGAATGTTATATTGTTGCTAACTTGGCAAACAACATAAAAGTACTTTATAGTCAGATCATCTTCTCACCCCCCACTCCCTTTTTTGGGAGGAGATCTTGAAAACAGAAAATTATGGAGTTCTTAGGGCTCTCTGAGCTTGATTGTTTGCTTTCAGGTGTTTCATTACCCAAAGATAATCTTATCAATTTCATTGGCTAATGAAACATCTTCGAACAATACCAAGAGCTCTACAGCTCAGCATTGAGCTGCAAATATTCTCCCTCAGAAGGAAGGAAATTGTTTTACCTTTTGCTGTCCCCAAATTAAACATATTTGTATTTAATGTAAACTTTTCCTACCAGTGATCCAGTTTTTTGATGCTGTCAAGGTGGACCGGACTCAGAATTGGCTCTACGCAGCTTGTTCTCTCTCCTATCTAGGAGCAATGGTGTCCAGCAACTCAGCACTTCAGTTTGTCAACTACCCAACTCAGGTGAAAAAGAGCAAAGAGTAAAAAAGAGAAGAGAGTAGGTGTGGGTGCTTGATGGCTGGTGGGAGATTAGATAGGAAAAGGGATATCTCTTCCTTTTTGCTAATGAAGAGCTTGGCATCTTATTTTACTTAAAAACATATAATAGTGTAGAAAAGAGCCAGATAATTAATTCCCATATTGCTTATATTAATGGCATTATATTGCCATGGTTATTCAGAATTTGTTGTATTGGAAGGAGAACTAGGAAATTCTAGGCTTAATTTCAGTATTTTCAGATTACAGTTTTGTCAAGGCTCAGAGAGATTACTTCAACAGAATTTTACATTCCCTCAAAGCTTTTTGCTAAACAGAAAAATTCCCTGATTTTTTAAGATTAAGAGGTTGATTTACTTACCTAGCTATAGGGTATGCAGGCTACTCCAGTCTCCCAAATCTGAGTGGCATATAATTCCTTAATATATAACTGTTATTTACATAATATATACAGTGATATCTCAGTACTCATCATTAATTAGTTACGGAGGTGCGATTCATACTAAACAACCACAACTTATTTAACTACAAGTAGTAAACAAACCATGTAACTAACACATCACCCTTTGTTTTGGCTGGAAAGGGTAGTGAGTCATGGAGCAGATGACACCGACCAGTTCCAACTTGTGTATCAAGTACCAATCAAACAACGAGTGCTAGGACTAAATTTTCGTTTCAAAATACGTTGAGTACCAAATTTGATGAATTTCAAACAAATATTGAGATATGATTGTAGTCAGTTTAAAACAGCAACAACTACTAGAAGCATTCTTATAGAACAGGGGAAAATATTATTATTTTAATTAGACTAATAAAAGTAAATACAAACTAAACTCAGAAAAAGCAAAAGAAATAGAAAAAGAGTACACAGAAAGAAGGGATTGATGATGTTACCTAATTGGGTAATGAAATATCTTCAAACAATTTAGCTCATGAGACTACCAAGGATTCCAAAGAAAAATAAAGAGAAAGCATATATTAAAGAAACAGAAATATATAAAGAAATGACTTTTGATGATCTTATATTTATCACAAGTAAAAACTAATTTGATAACACTCACCCTCTATAGATTTACCTCTTCTTTCTTTAACCCATCCCTAATCAATAGAAAAACCCTGAAATCATCAACTTTTCAATCCTGGTGTCAGAAAAAGTCTATAAAGAGTTACCACAGCTTTATAAAAAGATGTTTTAATTTACCTAACAACCTAGATTTTTAATTCATTCAAATGTCAAAATAAAGTGTCTATAATTTTTCTTTTTCCCATGGCAGAGTCTTCTAACTTTACCAAACCTTTTTTTTAAATCCAGTAAAAAAAATCAGCATCCAGGTCATAGTCTTGTTTGCCATTTGTATTTGTAGTTTTATTTTTAAAGTTTTATCTAGCTTCTTTTCTATATCCAATAAAAAAACCTTAATAGGGGGATTCTCTTGGTTTATGATGTATAATTTTACTCTCATTGTCTCCTCTCTTGTAATCTACTTTATTTTGTATTTCCACTTTGATTTTCAAAACTTCAATCCGCTTCTTTTGTGTATCCAATAAAAAGTCCTCCTCAGGATCATTCTCTTGGCTTGTCATTTTTAATTCTACTTTAGCTATCTCTTCTTATTTTATAAACCATACTTAAAAAAAATATCTAGCATTTCTGATTAAGGTATTTCTGCAGTACTTCAGGTATTTCTTTTGGATACGGTCTATCCATAAAACTAGACATCATTGTTTTTCTGATGTTGTAGCTACTAATGTTTGGCCCAGCTTGAAAATCTCTTGAAATATTTTTTTTTGTAAAAAGTTTTTTTATTTTTCCTTTCAAATTCATTCTTAAATATACATTCTTATAATTATTATTTAACATATGCCAATTCATATCATTTTTCCGCTTGTATATTTACATTTTGATATTTTCTTATTTTCCCTCCCCTCTTGAAATATTTTTAATGTTACAGAATTTTGTGTCATTTTGTAAATCCTCATACTAACTAAAAATAAAAAAATCATACACTTTTTTTTGTTTTCTGCATGGTTATCTTTAATTACCTTTAGTATTCAGTTCCTGAAATAAAATCTCAAGTTTCTGTTTTGACTTAAGATAGACAAAAACATTTGAATTCTCAGAAATTATATAATTACTTCCAAAATATTATCATATTACGCTGTTGTAAGATGGACAGCCAATACATTTTATAAATGAATAAAATAAATAAATCCTACAATAAAAGCTGTTCCAAAGCTGCCTGGACTTTTAATTTATTTATAGCCTTCTTAAATCAAAATCTTGCCCTTTTTTCCATTTATTTTTGATTATATTTTCATCTTGAGTGGTTCCAAAAAGCTTGCTGGTTCATTGGTATTTCCATGGTCTTTGTCTCAGTCAGAGATGTGTTTATTTTACCATACCACCGCCTGGGAGCCCAAAAATAAAACACTGCTAAAAAGATGTATGTTGCTTTGCTCTGGAGCTCCCATTAGCCATTTCTTGCAGTCCTGGTTGAAGGTCTTATAAAGCTGAGCAGTTCTGCTGCCAGTGGAATATCCTACGGTTGTTCATGAGAGGCTGTCAGTGAGACCCTGTAGGAGTGCACAATGGTCTCCATCTCCACAGATGGCTCCCTTGGTGTATCTGGAGGGAATCTCCAAGGACAGAAGATTATAGGACAAATGAAGGACCTTTCGCCCATTCCCACTCCCCAGCATGATTTGTTTTATTGAAGAGAATGTTTACGCTCTTTTGCTAAACCCCAATAAATAACATTTTGAATATTGTTAAAGGAACCAGGCATTGATGTATGAACATGTTTTTCAACTCTTCAACTCAGTTCGTCAAGTAAATTTTTTATATATATATATGTATATGTATATGTATATGTATGTATGTATGTATGTATATATGTATATATGTATATATGTATACACACACACACACACACACACACACACACACACACACACACACATATATATATATATATATATATATATATATATATTGTTACAACCCCTGGTATGCCCCAATTATGGGAGGAAGCTAACTGCTTCCATTATCTGTCTATCAGCTCGTCACCAGACACAGCACAAATACAACATACAATATATTGTATTTGTGCTGATAAGTAAATAAAGCGAGATTATGGGATTATGGTATGACTAGCTGATGAGAGCTAAATAGCTTTATTTATCAGCACAAATACAACACAAATGTAACAAAGGCAACAGTAAAAATATTGGGTTTCTGTTCTGTCTTGTGACGAGCCGATGGACAGAGAATGGAAGCAGTGAACTTCCTCCCATATTTGGGCATACCGGGGTTGTGACTTTAAATATATACCTTTCTCCCTGGCTCAGCTGACAAGGAGAAGAACCTTGTGGTTTAATGGTTAACACATCTGCCTAAGATGCAATATAGCACAGGTTCTAATCCCAGTAAGGATATGGCTAGCTGATGAGAGCTAAATAGCTTGAAATAGAACTATACTAGTCTCCCTTTATCAGCACAAATACAACACATACATACATACATATATATATCTGCCTTAAAAATATGTGTTAGATGTGGAAGGACTGGTTCCAGGTGTGGTAAGAGTTGTTCACTTACTATGACCCCAAGACCAACAGAACACACAGTGCCTATAGGAGAAAAAGAGTGGCCAAATGTGATTCTTTGTATAAAAGAGAACTGAATAGGAAGTAAAGAGGTAGCAAAGAAAGGAGAATAATAGGAAAAAATAGCTGTGGGAGTGAAGAGCTTCAGAAGGAACTACCACAGCTTTAAAATAAACAGAATGTAATGGCTTTATAAAGAAAAGAGGAAATATTCAGCTTATAAAAGTGTGTGGCTTCTACTTAGAAAATAATGAACTTCTGCACCTTAAGCAGCTAGTCCCCCCACCCCCTGAGTTATTCACAATCTTCAAGTGCCAGAGATTTAAGTGATTATAGCCAAGTGAATCTCTTTCTTCCTTTCTTTTTTAACTTTCTTAGGTCCTTGGAAAGTCCTGTAAACCCATCCCAGGTATGCAATCCCTGATCCTATACTGAAAACCATGCGTGGCAGGGAACTTTTCAGATACATCGCCCACATCAATTGAACCTGATTATTTAATGTAACTTTATTGGCTTCTAAAGTTGAAATTCCATAATAGTTTAAGGTGGTATTCGGGGAAGCGGAAGAGTAGGAAAAATGGAAAGCAATGGCTGTTGATACTGTGTGGCTAGTAGGGTTGGATCACTTCATGTTCAGATCTGAAAGTACCAGCTGCTTATCTGAGTGAGGTGAGATAGATTAGCAGCTTTAGGTTCAGGATTGAAGACTCCACAGAATTCTTAAGAATGACCTGTGGGAAATTATTCATATGATTTCAATTTGCAAAATAATATGCAGTGGTCTTTAGTTAATTAAGTTTCTTATCAGGACTATTGAGAGTATGCTTTTTCCAACATTTCTTTTCCTTTTCTAGTCATGCTCCTGGGGGTGACAGTGCTGAAGAAGAAATATCCATTGTCCAAATATTTATGCGTCTTACTGATTGTCACAGGTGTGGCCCTGTTTATGTACAAGCCAAAAAATGTAGGAAGTGTTGGGGATGAGCATATTTTCGGTTATGGGGAACTCCTGCTGGTAAGTTCTAAATTCTTAAAAAGCAAAACAAAACAAGCTATTAGAAAAATTGCCAGGTCTAAATTATATTTTGTAGAGAAGTGGGAGGGATACCTCTCAAGAACATAATCTTTAGTTACCTTGGCACTTGGCATTTTTATTTGCATGTTTCATTAAGCTTCCAGTGACTTACTGAACTGTAAATATTTCTTTAAAATATTTTATTGCATGGAACAATTAATCAAGCTTCCATCCTACTAACAAAATAAGAGTTAATAAGTAATGTATGATTTAACATCTACCAAAAAAGGGGGCAGGGTCTTGGAGAAAGTAAAAAGAAAGTCTGGGAATGAGTTCTGTAGCAAATAATAAAAAAAAAAAACCAAACCCCCAACCCAAAATGCTTTTTTTCTTTTTTTTTTAGAAAGGTAATTCAAATCCTTGCTGTGAGTCAGGTCCTTTTTTGCCTTTCCAATATTGCATGTATTTATTTAATGTTATTTATAGGAGTTATATGGCTGCCTATTTCATATAATGATTCTAGTCAGCTAACAAAAGGCTCATAAAAATAGATACCCACCCCAGGCGCCAGACCCAACAGCCTCCCAGTTCAATCAGCATCCTACTTCAATGCTTGGGGAAAAGGCAGATTTTTGGTCCTTTGGAAGGCTAAAAACATAGGGAGGATTAATAGTGATTCTTTTGGCCATCTCCCAAGAAAGAAAAATCCAGTTATTGATGTGTTAGTAAATTTAAGCTGCTGTGGGTGTAGCCAAGCAAAATATACACTTCTTTATCTAGCAATATCAATATTCCATCAAGTTGTTAATGTTTAAAAGTGCACAACTCAATGGACTCAAAGCAACATGGCTTTACTGAATGCATGTCATGTCAAACTAATCTGATTGACTTTTTAATCATGTCACAAATGTTTTGGATGAAAGTAATGCTGTGGATGTAGCTTATCTGGATTTTAGCAAAGCATTTGATACAGTTCCATATAATGAACTCATTAAAAAGTTGTATCGATTAGGGATTAACCATTGGGTGGTTCAGTGGATAGGAAGGTAGCTCAGGAATAGATCCCATTGTCTGATTGATAATGGGGCAATATCTGAACACAGACCAGTCACAGGTAGGTAATTTTGCCAAAAGGCTCAGTCGTAGGTCCTGTTTTGCTTGCTATGTTGGTTGGTGATATAATAATAGAAGGATTGCTAGGTAAGGTTTGTCTTTTTGCCGATGATGCAAAAGTGTGTAATAGAGTTGATGTTCAGTGGGTAATTTATAACATGGAAAATGATTTGGCATTGCTGGAAAATTGGTTAAAAAAAATGCAGTTTCTAAGTGTATGATATCTACTTTTAAACTTTTTTCTGCCATCAGTTTTCTGTTTCTAATATTAATTTGTTTGCTTCTAAAGGTTAGACATCCACAATGAGTTTAACGGGAAAAAAGGAAAGGAAGAAAAAAGAAAATAATGATTGTTGATATTAGGTGACTAGTAGGATGTGATTGGTTCATGTGCAAATTTGCAAACATCAGGCTTTGTCCAAGTTTGTATTTCCAACAGTCAGGAAAAGACGACCAATAGAATTATTTATTTTCCTGAAAGCAATCCCTACTAAAATATAAATGTAAATTTACCATCAAAATTATTCTGGAAGTTTTCCAGCAAGATGAATTTTTAAGAATGACAACTTTCCATCCTTACATGTCAGTTAAGGGGCTAAACTAAACTGAACAGAACTCAGTTAATAGAATTTGCAAATGCTATTAATATCTGAACCCAAAGGACAGTATTTTCACATTTTTGTGAGGTTGCAGGGGGTATATATTGTTCAAAGCAGTAGTATTTTTCTTCATCAACATTAGACTTTGATTCTCTTCCCTTCATCATTTTTAGTTGCTGTCTTTGACTCTGGATGGTTTAACTGGGGTGTCTCAAGACCATATGAGAGCTCACTACCAGACTGGTTCCAATCATATGATGTTAAATGTTAATCTATGGTCCACTTTGGTCCTGGGTGCTGGTAAGAATATTATTTTGATTCAGCAGAAGAAAAATATCGCTGATTTGAATTCAGTAATTTTGCAGAAGAAAAATGGGAAGCTATGCATATGTTACTCTTTGTGTGTGTGTGCACACACCCATGCACGCATAAGGAATCAAAGTATAGTACTTTAGAGACTTGTGGGAATCCTTGGGTTGTAAAGTTTGGAGCATCAGTTGCCTAATTGGTAGACAGTATCTCCTTCTATCTTCATATATAATGTTTTATGGTACTGTATATTCACCTAATTAAAGTTGTTTCTACACATAGATTGCTGTTAATTTGATTAGGGTAAATATTGCCTTGTATAATGCTCAATTATTCAGGAAGCTTGTTTAAAATAACATCATAGTGACAGCTACCCTAGTAGAACTTGCATGTGCCCCTATTTTGCTTTAATATCACAATTCATACCTCACCCAATCTTGTCTTCTTTCAGAAATGTGATAGCTCTTCTCGAGAAGGGCAAGCAGTGGTGCTTTGTTGCTCCTGCAGCAGCCATCTGGCAACCCCTTCTCTCCCAAAAACTGTTCCTGGCCAGTTTGGGGTATGTGGGAATCCCAATGCAGGTTGGCAGTAACTCTTTGTTCCTCCATTTGGTGTCTCCCTTGTTCCAGGAATATAGACATGGTTCTGATTTCCTTTGACTGCAAAGAGTTAAGCCATACCCTTTATTTTTGTGTGCGATGGTTAGATCCTCTCCAGAGAGACTACCTTAGGAGAAAAGATTGGATAATTAATGAAAAGGAGCAGCCCTTGCAGCCAAAGTAATTTGGAGAGCAATTGTTCCCCTCTTTTCAATCAACTGGCATTTACAGAAATAGTGTGGAGTGCAATTCAGCAGAAGCTGTAAAAAGGGTTTGTGTGCTGATCGGCTGGTCCTCTTTATGTTAAAGTGTCCAGGAAGCAAGGTACCAGTCGGCTTCTGAATTGACTAAAAGATGCAGAAATAATGCCCCAGTGCCTTCTGACCTGGGCGGGGATCTGCGAGAAGTGTGCACAGCTAAATGAAAGGTCCAATCTGTCCAGTTCTGTAAAAGCAAACTTTTCTAGCATCAGATTATCGATCTCTTCTATTTTATGAGAACATCCTTGATAAAATCCTCCCTCTCTTACTACCTTCAAAATTTGTGAGCTGCAACTCCCATCATCCCTGGCCATATGCATATTGGCTGGCTATAAATGATTAGAAGCATCTGGTCACCACATCCAGAAGACTTCAGATTCCCCATTTCTCCAGGAAATCTGTTTTAGAGAAAAAAGGGTCTTTCTCTTCCTTTTACTGCACAAGCTGCATTGGTCACCAGTTGGCTTCCAGGAATTTCCAAGATGCTGATTGCATATTTAAGGCCCTGTAGGGTTTTCAGCAAGGTCATCTGCATTCACCCTCTCCCATACTGATCTTCCTAACCAATCCGCTCAAATAGGGTCAGCTCTCTCCAGGTCCCATCTATTTGAGAATGGCTTTTGATAACTCCTAGGAAACAGGCCTTTTTCTATCACTTCCCCTGAGGAAATCAGGTCTACCAGTTCCATTCTGTGTTTCAGGACAGCAGTCAAGAGTTGACTTTTCCTCTCTAGCCTAAGAGGAAGCCATGCTGGGAATGCTGAGATGTATTAGTGAATCTGTACCTTGCAAGGTTGCATTATCCTGAATTTCACTGCTTGTGTCGAACATGTCCAGTTAAAAAGAATATGGTTGGGGAGCCAAATAGGACTGGTCACCAGATGGTCAAAGCACAGGGAGAGATTTTATTATTCTGTTCTATTTTCTCATGATACTTTCTTTTTCCTAGGTATTCTCTTTACAGGTGAGCTTTGGGAATTCTTGAGTTTCACTGAGCGTTATCCTACCATCATCTATAATATCCTTCTCTTTGGCCTAACCAGTGCTTTAGGTCAGGTAAGCAACTAGTTTTTTCTGTTAAGCCAATGTGGTGCTTTAACTGCCAACATTATGCTGTACCACGGATGTAAATGCGGTATGTGCTATGTCGTACAAGGAAGTTGTATGCTATGTAGTTACAAGGAAGATGTTACCAGCTATTTCTCAAATACAGGTAATCCTCACGTTATGACCACAATTGAGCCCCAAATTTCTTTTAAGTGAACTTTGTCCCATTTTACGACCTCTCTTGCCGTGGTTGTTCAGTGAATCTGGCTCCCCCATTGACTTTGCTTGTCAGAAGATCATCAAAGGGATCACATGACTCTGGGACTCTGCAAACCGTCATAAATATGAATCGTTTGCCAAACATTTCAATTTCGTTCATGTGACATGGAAATGCTGCACCAGTTGTAAGTGTGAAAAACAGTCATAAATCACTTTTTTCAGTGCTGTTGTAACTTTGAACAGTCACTAAACAAATTGTTATAAGTCGAGGACTACCTGTAGGTTGATGCCCCCCTCTCCCATATGACTTATTTGTGAGATTATATCAGGGTAGAATACTTCATTCATCCCTTCCAAAAATATAACTCTGTTTCTCATAAGATTTTCTTGTGTGAAATACATTTTGGTGTATTCAAACTGGCCACATAAAATCATGAATATCGGTTTAACAAAACACTGCAACTAAATTATATGGTGCATATGCAAGTTGTCCAACCTTAAAGTGGATAAGGAGGATGATTTTTTTTTACTTGCTATCTGATTGCAGGATAATTATGTAAGCCAAAACAATCCAGAATCATCTGCTTTAACCCAGAGTTTATTATCGGCTCACAAATTTTAGATGGCTTTGGATGACTTTAATTATTGCTTTGGTTATGTCCCCAAATTCTCCTTTTCATGTTTGGCTAATTTTTTTTATACAAAATTAAAAGCCTTCTAATTCACAGAATCATTTAAAGTGATATATGAAATAAAGGCATGATTAAAGCAAGCCTTCCAGAAATACCAGAGACTATTTATTATTTGAAACAATTTTTCCAATCACATAATAAATTTCCTGCTGTGGTGCTGTTACCATTATAAATTTCACCTCAGTCTCTTTGCTTGAAATGGATTTTCTTTGTTTTTTGTCTTCTTCCTTCTATGCTGTTTCCAAGGTTGCATGTTTTTGTTGCGTTACCAGTTCAGAAGATTTAAAGTACTGCTTTCTTTCTGTCTTTCGCCTTTGCCCGAAAAAGGGAAATGGCCCTGCTTTTGTTTTCCTTTATATTTGTTGAGGACAATACAAAGGACATTGCTTTTGAAAAGGATTATTAGACCTTCTGCCTCATTGCTGTGATTTAAGGGACAAAGGTGTGGGGGGGGGGGTTACTTTATATTCCAAGATTGTCTGCAATTTTTCTTTCAAACATTCTCATAATTATAAGTTGCCTTATGCAAGCTCAATACAAAAAAAAGATAATCTATGGTAAACAGTTGGAGGGAAGATGTCTCTACAGAGAGGCTACAAGATCAAAGTGATGCAAGACATTTCTGAACAAGCCTGCATGTTTCCCTCCCCCCCTCCTTTTTTTTTAATTATTGCAGACTTTCATTTTCATGACTGTGGTCTATTTTGGGCCTCTGACCTGCTCTATTGTCACCACGACTCGCAAGTTCTTCACTATTTTGGCTTCAGTTATTCTATTTGCCAATCCTATCAGTAATTTACAGTGGATGGGCACCATCCTGGTATTCCTTGGTAAGAGTCCAGCTTCTTTTGTCTTTATTATTTGGGAAATGTCAGTCTTAGTTCCAGAGTATGATTTCCTGCAGAATATAAACCTGGTTAACTGTTTCACTGGACTTCTTGCTTATCTAAGCAAGTGTAGGGGTTTAATTAGTTTTAATTAACTTAAATCTATTTATAGGGTCCTTAGCAGCCTACAGTGATGTACACTTTTTCCTATATGCCATTCTTTCCTCAAACTGTACTTCACCAAATCTAGTCTCCACTGGTTCAATTATAGTGAAGATTAGGCAAAACTCATTTAATATGCTGGAAGTTTGGCGATAAAAAAAGCAGAAAGAATTTGCTGATGCTCAAATGCCTGAAGAGTTGAAAATAGTATTTCTATGTGAGACACCATGACCAAAGAGAAGACTTTTCCTTGCTTAAGCACGGGTGTTAGGAGTACCTGATAATGGGCTGATGCAATTAGATATTTTGCAACTGTGGACTTCAGTTCTCAGAATTCTAAGTAATGATTATTTTGACTGAAGAATTCTGGGGATTGAAATCTAGAGACTGCCTAGGTTGGGAAAATCTGAACTAAAGATGCTGATAGTCAAAGTATTGCAATTTTTAAACTAAATAATATTTTCCCAACTGGTTTTAACCTATTCTGTTTTGCTTCTTCTGCACCTTCTATTTGTTTTAAGATACATTACATTGTTTGGTTGTGTTTTGCTTGTTATCACAGATTCTCCTTTTCACAATAACAATACTTTTAGTGGTTGTGCCAGGGTTCAGCAATTATTCTGTCTTAGCTCAGCAGATTTAAAATCTGCTTCATACTGTACTCCCATAGATAATAATTACTTGTACAGAGAACTATTAAGTGAGATGCTTTTAAAACTGTATCATCTTTTCTGGGACATTCTTGTAAGCTGAAAATCTGCTTCTAAGCTGCTAGGGTAGCTTGATGTGTTCCAAAATTATCCCAAGTTAGAAGGCTTGTTCAGCCATCCTCTTTTACTCAAAGTCATCCCCAACCAACACTTTGCCCTGTAGCATCATTTCCAACCACAGTTAATGTTCCTATTTGTTTTTCTGCAGGACTTGGCCTAGATGCCAAATTTGGGAAAACATCGAAGAAAACTTCACACTAAGAAGATTTTTGTGTTTCTCTTGAAAACTTTTAAGCATAAGGAATTATTAACTTATTGTCTTATTTCCCATAACTGGGAATTTGGCTCAGGATGAATGCTTGGGGAAAGGGGACAGCATAGGAATGGGATTGTTTTTATTCAAAATGTGTTTGATTTTTTTTTAATGGTAGCTTTATTTTACTAAAAATCAAAGAAGTAGCTTTTCCATTTCTACTGAGGAATCTAAACTGTAGTTAATGGATGGCAAAAAAAAATTCTTGGTGAAATAGGACAAATGCTTTATGTGAAATAAAAGGAGGGACAAGAGAAAAACCTATATGTTTATGTTTTAAAATTTACTTTCCATCTCTTGTGCCTCGGTGAGGTGGAAAGGAAAGTGTTATGGTATTTAGTTTTTTCTATTTATACAATAGTTGTATACTGCCTATCTTAGAGACTCAGAGCAGTTTAACAGTACAGTAACCATAAATATCTATCATAGGATAAAACAGTCATCACAGACCAATCAATGTTCTTTTTCTGTATCTAGATCAAACTTTTGACGCCAGAATGAAGCCACTTTATTGGCTTTGTCATTGGCCAAATCTAAGTCATTATTTTCTGACTGCCAGAAATTTGACTTTTCGAGTCTCACTGGCTCAAAGTTGACTCAGCCTCCCATCCTTCCGAGGTCGGTAAAATGAGACCCAGATTATTGGGGGTAATATGCTGACTCTGTAAACCGCTTAAAGAGGGCTATAAAGCATTGTGAGGCAGTATATAAGTCAATATTGCTATTATCAGTACATGTTTCTGGTAGTAATTGACATACCAGCAGATGGGCTGGGATGCTCTTTGTCTCTTCATTTACACAACTTGTTGGTATGCACTAAGAGACTGCACTTGAGTATATGGGTCCAATCAAACCAATAAAAACCCTACATACATACTATATTACAAAACTTAATCAGATAAATTAAAAATAAGCACTGTGAGTCTTCTAACAAGAGGTGTTCTACATTGGTTTGGTAGCGTAGCTTATGCTAGAGCACTGAAACTACTTCATGGAGAAGCTCTGTCCCTCCAGAATACAGTGCAGGTAGTTAACCAATATTACATTCTCACACAATACTACCTTGGTAATTTAAAAGCTTGTTTATAGAACAATCAATCCATCATGGCTTTGTAAATCATAATAGATTAATTCTTATATCACACTAAGCGAAAAGCAAATAAATAATGTTATGCTTTAGCACAGGGGTGTCAAACTAAAATTTCATTGAGGGCTGCATCAGGGCTGTGTTTGACCTCAGGGGACTAGGTGGGCGTGGCTGACTAGGTGGGCATGTCCAGCTCGAAGCCACTCCCCAAACTGCTGGCATGTTTCCTTTTCACATTGGGTAGACTGGGCCAAAACCATGCTGGCCTAATCTTTTCTCTTTGCACTGGGTAGACCGGCACAAAACTACACTAGCTTGATCTCTCCACTTCACACTGGGTAGACAAGGACGGCCCTGTGGGCTGGATCCAACCCACAGGCCTTGAGTTTGACACCCCTGGTTTAGCAATTATTTTGGTAGGTTTGGTAGAGTTTTCTTCTTATATGAACATGCTCAGCTTCATCTGGGTTATTTGAATCTGAAGAGGATAGAGCAGGGGTGGGTTCCTGCCAATTCTAACCTCTTCTATAGAAGAGGTTCCACAAATCTACAGTGCCATTTAGAACCGGTTCTAGTTCCCTCCCCCCGCCTGTCCGCACATCAAGATGAAGAGTGAGAGGAGGAATTCTGGGAGTTGAAGTCCACAAGTCTTAAAGCTGTCAAGTTTGAACACTCCTGGGTTTTTTTCTAAAGGGTTAGGGGTGCAAGGGTCTTGTAAGACTTGCATGCTTCAAATGCCAGAGTTTCTGAGCCAACATTTTGGTTGCTTAGCAAGAGCGTTGTTAAGTGAGTTTCACCACATTTTACAATTTGGCCATGCCCACTCAGTCACATGACTGCCAAGCCACTCCCACTCAGTCACATAGCTGGCAAGTTACTCCCACCTGGTCACATGGCCGGCAAGCCACTCCCATCTAGTCACATGGCCGGCAAGCTACTCCCACAAAGCAGGCCACACCTACAGAAGAGGTTCTAAAAAAATTTGAAACCCACCACTAGGATAGAGGTACCAGAAAGTTCAGCTGCCTCATGGCCCTGAACATTCGGATGCCTTTCAAGTTCACCTCCTGCTTAGGAATAGTAGGTACTTCCCAGTCTATATTCAAATAACCAGACATCAGCAAACCTTTCAGAAAGTGATCACCATTATACAATACATTTTTAAAAATGACTGAAATCTCAGTAAAACCTTTAAAATTTGGCTATTTTTTTAACATGATAAAGTTGATATAATTTTAGCAAATTAAAATTATTTGATTCAGATAATTAGATCCTAGGGGTATGCAAAATGTCCAAAATATATTTCAACATTTGAAAGTATGCTTGGATTTGGATGGTCCAGATCAAACCAATACATTTGTTTCAAAATTTTAATCCAGGACTGTAATATAGTATTGAGTCAGGGAAAACGGGAAAAACTCAAGAACCAGGAGAGTATAGAAAGGGGTAGCTATGTGGAAATTGTGAGGGGCAGGCTGGCAGAATATGCCTGGTCAGGGAATGTCAATTTCATATTCTCTTGAGGGGATATTATTGTGCTAAAGTGGAAGCTTCTGATAATAGGACTGGGGGCATATAAACAGAATCAGAGAGAACTTGGTAGAATTTAAGAGCCACAAACAATTTTCATCTTGCACATCTCCCTTTATTTGCTTCCAGATTTGTGTTGCAAATAAAAACAATGTGATATTTTTGTAAACAAAGGGTGAAATTATTATGGATATAGTTTTCCAATACTTAATACTGAACTGGCATGACACAAAAATAAGCAGCCACTTTTGGGAGCTGTGATTTTCTGCATCTTATCCCAGATTGCTCATGATTCTGGTTTCTGTACTCTGGAACTGGCACAGAGTGCCAAGAGGAGTCATAGATTTTTCTTTTGACTAAGTCATATATTGATTCTTACGAGCGCATATGCAGAAATTGCCTGGGCACAGGAAGGAATTGCAGTGGCTAGTTCCAAAAATGTTCATTTAGTGCTTGGATTATTTGGCATAAAAACAGGTAGTAATTGGCCTATCCTTCTTTAAAAGGATGAGTTGATAAGAGAATTTGGAACTTGCTGATGAAGCTCATAATGAAAAAAAAATCATTTTCTAAAGGTCATTAATCATGAAACCACAGGGAATGTTTGCTTTCCTAATATTGGTAAATAGCAACTATGAAAGTTTTCTTTCTGTATCTGAAAGAAAGGCAAGTTACAAAAGCATAGAGAGGTCATATCTTCCTTCAGTGAAGCTTGGTGCCTCAGGACCCCATAGACAACTTCATTGCTTTATTGAAATACTTTGCTATTTTTCTAATTTAAAAACAAACGAACCTTCTTCCCAATCTGATTTACAACCAGGGGGAAAAGGAAGGTCTCTTATCTAAATACTCAATGGCTTGTGAGGTCAGCTAAGGCTGCCTATCTGCTGCCACCCGCAGCAATGAAGGGGCAGTGCAGGCACTATTATTCACGATAAATAGGGTACTTGAAGGAGGGCAAACGTCTTCAGGATTTTGCCTAACATTCATCTTTTTAACAGTATAAACTAATGTGGGAAAGTTTAAAGATGACTGCTTGAAATCAATAACATTGTTCTATATTGGGCGATGCTTTTCACCACCATTTTCATCTTGCCTAGAGGAATAGTTAGACTGTATTGCTAAAGAAACTCATTTCTTTTCCTTCCCAGCGATGCTTCCCTGAACTTCTAAGACCTGCATTATAAAATGTTTAAAAAGCCCCCTGTTTTAATTAAGCAATAGCCCCCGAGAGCTGCGCCAGGCGTACTCCTTTGAGTTTCCTAGCATGGGAAGAGGGCGGGCAGTTAACATAAGGCTGCCTTGGAAGCTCATAGACTGAGGTCTCCATGGAGCAAACTTTACACATGAAAGCGCGTCTCCACCAGCTGTCGCAACCAGGCTCCATCTGCTCTGTGCTTTTGGCCTCTCGCCCTTCCAGATGGGACCTTGATCTCCTTTCCTTGGTGGTGCTGGCAAATGTGCTCTTTCCTCTCTGGTCCCCATCTTTTCCAATTTCTCTTCAGCCTTCAACTGATGGTTACATTGATCTTTTTGGATGGGCTTGTTCTCTGCCCCCCCTTCTCCCCCCTTTCTTTCCAAAATTAGACCTTTTGCAGTATTGGAACATTGGGCCGGGAGGCATTATTGTAATCCTGTTCCTTATTTTCCTAAAAGTCAACCAGAGAAAGGGGGGGGGGGGGAGAGAGAAAAGGCAATTTCTTTCTTTAGTGAATTCTGCAAATGATGGCTTCCTTGGAGTGGATGTAAAAGCAACCCCCTTTTTATATAAAATTGTAAAAACAATTGGAGGAGAGAGGTAGCTCTTGTCATGCCCAGCCTGTGTGGTGTTTTTTTTTTTTTTTTAAACTTGTATGCTGGCCAAATTCCAATAACTCTGGGATACAAAAGACATTTGTTATTCTTTTTAAAAAATTGTAACAGAAGTGATCAAACACATATAGACATAACAGAAGTGATCAAACATATAAAAAGCATCTGTTGGGAGAGAACATAATCATGCCAGGGAGCTTTTATTTCTAATAAATCCAATAATGCAGCCTGCTGTTCGGCCCCACAACAATCCTGTGAAGGCGATTCAGTAGAGAAGAGGGCAGGGGCAACTACAGGTAGTCCTCAACTCACGACTACAATTGAGTCCAAAACTTCTGTTGCTAAGCAAGACATTTGTTAAGTGAACTTTGCCGCGTTTTATGAGTTTTCGTGCAACAGTTGTTAAGAGAATCACTGTAGTTGCAAAGTTAGCAATGTGGTTGTTAAATGGATTGGGCTTCCAAAGCATTGACGTTGCTTGTCAGAAGTTCGCAAAAGGTGATCACATGACCCCCGGCATGCTGCAAACAATCAGAAATATGAGTCAGCTGCAAGCACCTGCCTTTTTGACCACAGGATGGTGGGGATGCTGCAATGATCTTCATTAGCGTGATAAACAAGCCATCTTTTTCAGGACTGATGCAACTTTAAAGGGTCACTAAATGAACTGTTTTAAGTTGAGGATTACCTCTATCTCCTCCACCAGAGAAGGGCTTAATAAGGATCTGAGTGCTTAAATGATAGTGAACATGCAGCTGGACTGTCATTGTAAGGTCACTCAATAGTTGGATACAAAAGAAATCCATCTAAAAGAGTATGAATTGACTACTCAACTAATCAAATTCCTGAAGCTGTATTTGTAGCTTTACATGGCGCTTAGGAAAGCAAAGATAAATATTACAGGGTCTACCAAAAGTCAAGTCCCCATATAGATAATGCCTTACATACATTAACTTAAATGCTTGAATAGGTTATTTCTTCTAAACACTTCCCTATTCATGTGACACACAATCTTTCAGCATTTCTAATTCCGGTAACATTTTTTTTCTAGAAAAATAATTAACACAAGCAGTTCTCAACTCACGGCCACAATTGGGAGCAGAATTTCAGTTACTTAAGCGAGGTCATTATTAAGTGAGTCATGCCTGATTTTTATGACCGGTTTTTTTTTTCCTTTGTTTTTTTGCTAAAGGGGTTAAGGTCACTCTATATCACTGCAGTTGTAAGTGAACCTTGTGGTTGTTAAGGAAATCCAGTTTCCCCATTGACTTCGTTTGTTGGAAGCTGACTTTAAAAAATTGCAGATGGTGATTGCATAACTCCAGGCACTGTTGTAAATACGTGCCTGTTTCCCAGCACCCAAAATTGGGGATGCTGCAACAGTAGTTAAGCAGAGGGGACTGGTTGTAAATCACTTTTTTTAAGTGACATTGTAACTTTGAACGGTCGCTAAGCAAATGGTTGTAAATCAAGGTCTACCTATCAAACATTATAATTGGCCTACAGGGCCTGGCTTTTGGTATACCCTATATATTTCTTCTCCTCAAGCTCCCTTGTACAAGATCCCGTCCTTAATTTTTCTTGATTAGGATTACATTCCTTTCTTGTGTTGATTTTCAAATGTCCAAACATTTTTGCTAGAAAATTATGCCATTGATCCTTGCACTAAGAACTGAATCCAATCTACTAACTAACTCTGCACAACATGGTTATAGGCTAGACCAGTGATAGCGAACCTTTTCAGCACCAAGTGCCCAAACCGGAACGTCCGTGCATCAGAGCACTGGAAACCCGAAGACCAGCTGGCTGGCACACGAATGCCTAGTTTTAAGCTGGTTTTCAGGCCATTTTTCGAGCCCGAAAAATGCCCCCAAAACGGCCAAAAAGATGGCCTGGAAAATGGCCTGTTTTTTGAGACCATTTTCAGTCTGTTTTCTGGTGCTACAGCTCCTGCAAAGACCAGCTGGTCAGTCGGTGTGCATGTGCATGCCAGAAACCAGAAGAGCAGTTGGCAATAGTGCATGCCCGCAGAGAGGGTTCTGCGTGCCATCTCTGGCACGCATGTCATAGGTTCGCCATCACAGGGCTAGACTATATGGTTGTACCTGTTGCTGGTCTTTTACTGCATATTGTACTATGTGTTAGCCACACTGTCTGATTTTGCATGACATGTTGATCTAAAATGCAGTTGGTTAGTTTGTGGTTCAGTGTCTCATGGAAAAAGCGTCATCCTTTTCTTAGCAAGGCTACATTATACTGGGTATACTTGCAAAAAGAAAACACATTTCAATTCAAAATTGTCTAGCTGAAGTGATTTTAAAAACCTGTCTGTTGTTGTTTTGTGATAAATGTCCTAAGTGTCCTTTTTAAATTTAGAATATTAGAAATAAAAACTCATTGATAAATTTGATCTAATTATTTATTTCTCATCTCTGATTTCAGCCATAAGAGCAGCGATGGATGTTCACTGACTTCCCAAGAAGGGGCAGAGGGAATTCAAAAGAGTAGGATTGGGTATTTTATGTAGTTATTATTGAAGCACTCAGTTAATAGCAAAAACTCAAGGAAAATCAAACCAAACCCAAATATATACGGTGATGCTTAAATGTTTCTGAATCCCTTTGAATGTCCAATATTTGTCAAGAATGTGATTTATTTTCTTCTCAAGTCTTAAAACTAGGTATGGAGAATTTCTTTTAAAAAATGAATAAAAAACTTTATATTCTTTCATTTATTGAAGAAAATTATTTCAAACTACATATTTTTTACTGGAAAAAGTATGTGAACTCTCCAAGTTTATCAGTGCATTTAAAGGGGAAATTTAGAATCTGGTTTCAATCAATCAATCAGGTATGAATACGAGAGGTCCTGCTTTATTTTTTTTTTTAAACAGAATTTGGGATATTCACAATCAAAGGCTCATCTTCATACCTTAGGTATGTGAAAATGTGTTATGACTCAAAAACAGCATATTTCTGGGGACCTCCAATTCTTCCCTCCCCCCACCAAAAAAAAATAAGCTGATTATGCTCAGCGGGCTGGAAAAAGTTACAAACTTATTTCCAAAGAGTTTGCATTTCATCAATCAATTCTCAACCCTACTGCTACCCTCCCTGAGGGTGTGGTTGACCAATCAAGGCCATACAAGTGTGAGGCATGTAATACTCTAGGGACAAAAACCCAAAGCAGACAAGTCATATGACCAAAGAATGATAATAGCTGAAGAAAGTTAATGTTTTGGAATGGGCAAATCAAAGTCCTGGTCTTAATCCTTTAGAAATGGTGAAAGAAGACATAAAGCAAGCAGTTCATGTGAGAAATTAATAACAATGATTTTGAAGGCTCACATACTTTTGCCACATACAAATATGTAGCTTTCATTTCCCTCAATACATGAACAAGTATGTCTTTGATTCACTTATTTAATGAGGTTCACTTTATCCAGTTTTAGAGTTTGTGTGGAGAACATATTTTTATGTCATATTTTTGCAGAAACATTGAAAATCCAAAAGGGTTCACAAATTTTAAGCATCACACAAGTTAGTTATTACAAATTTTCTCCATTGCTTTTACATGACTCTGGAGTAGCCAGAAGAATTATAGCGGCTCGAGCAAAGCCATCATACAACTATTAGGCATATTCTCATTTAGAAGAATGAGCTGGAGGTCATCCCATGAGGAAGGGTTGGCTATCCACATTGTGAAGTAAGTGATAAGTGGTTTTAGCCCTGAGGTGATCCGACTGGCTTTGCTTCAAAGAAGCAAATGGTGTGTTCTTTAATCAGTTCAGGCCAGTGTTATGGAAGAAGGCTTCTCTCAAGCTGTTCTCCTACTGTTGGACAAAGCCCTCCCTATCTTGGAGGATTCAGGATTGCTTATATCATGCCAAGAAGTCTCTGAGGCTGGACAACTGTGCCATAGAGAGCCTGCAATTTGTTTCATGCTGCTTGTCTTCTCCCAACTGTTGGTACAAAAAAGATTAAGAAACCCAATACTGTGGGCTGAAGAATACCAGCCTAAAGCTCCTAGCAATCATCATCATCATCAACATGATCATCATCTCCTCCTCCTGCGTCAACCATTTTTAATTGATACTGTAGCAATTTTCCAGGCTTCATGACTGAGTAGATTGGCTAGAGAGGCTTTTTAATAGACAATCCACCAGGTGAAATAATAATAACAATAATGTTGTTTAAAAAGAAATAATGAAATGTAGATGGTTTTTTTTTAAAAAAAAAGTTGTGAATAGAGTTGAAATGCAATTAACAGAAACACCTAGACAAGAACTAACATAACTGGAGGAGATGACAAGAAAATTGTTTTGTATAAAAACTATTTTTAACAATAAATTGAACCTTGACTACACAGGATCATGCTGCCTGGCCTTTCCCTTGCATTGATCAAGAGCCAATTCAAAGGCAGTGTTGGCATATTTTGTTAAGTTTTTTGAATCTGGTATCCAGGTATCTTGCCAGGAATACATAATCATTTTTTCTGCAGCTGTTCAGGCACAATATGTCCAGACCTCTTTATAAATACCAGGAATTGCAGTGCCAAAAGAAAATCTGCTCTTCTCGTATAATCCTCTAGAAAGTGTCTTGTTCAGTGTCCCCCCTCAGGAGGCACATGGAGTACAAACAGATGGACTCCTTCTTGGTGGTGTCTCCCACTTATGGAATACCTTACCTAAGGCAGCAGATGGCTCCAACCCCTTTTCTAATTCGGGAGAGAGTTAAAAATGTATTACACCAGAGAGGTTTTGGGTGGCTATTATAGGTCATTTGCTTTTAATCTAACAATTGTTTTAATCAGAGGTCCCCAAATGCTTCACCTCATTGACCTAGTAATGAAATTTAAGGTTGTTCATTGATTTCCCAAATATTTATTATATGACAATAATTTAATAAATAATAATAGCACTCAGACTTATATACTACTTCATAATGCTTTGCAGCCCTCTCTAAAAAGTTGACAGAGTCAGCATATTGCCCCCAATCCAGATCCTCATTTTACCAACCTCGGAAGGCTGAGTCAACCTTGAGGTGCCAAGCGCCATAAGTACTGCATTCTTAATACCAGTTTAACTAATAATACTACAAATAAGAATAATCTGAAGCATCCCTTGAACACCATCAGGACTGGCAACACCAGTCAATTGCAAAAAGCAGCTTTTTCCATTGTGGAACAATATCTTTAATATTATTAAACAATAGTACCAACCTATCCCAAGTCCTCAGGAAGAGCTCCATAGGTATAGGCAGAGATAAAAATGCCAAGTCCAGCCTAAACATCTGGCTGTGTGACAAGCTATAATAATAAAAAGAATGGATAATCCCATTGACCCTTGGTGTCAATATTGGCAAACCCTGCTTTCAATATTACATTTTGGAATTCTTGCAAATTCAGATTCTACTAATGTGCTGCTAAATAAATTAATATCTTCCACATTTGGGCATTACTATCTTTAAACTGTAACTACCTTGCAAAATCCTCTTAAATCTCAGTAATAAATTCAATAAATAAGGAATTACCTGGACATGACCAAGATAGACATCTTTTATTGCATCTCCATCCTATGAAGCATGACAGCATAATTCCCCGCAAAGAGAAGAGCTGCTAAATCTGGAACAGCCCTTACCAGTGCTGTAGGAGAAGATTCATTTCACTCTTCCCAGTACTTACCAAAGAAAATCCCATGTTGAACAGCTTCAGCATGTGCTACTAGATTCTCAGTGGCTCATTTGGTAAGCAGCTGGGAAAGGCATGCTATGTGGAAGGATCTTTCATGCACCACTTGCCGCCCAGTCAGTCAATGATTTCCCAGAGGTTGGAAGAAAATAAAGAGCATGGCACATCCATCAACTTGGAAAATACATCAGCCAGCATTTCACTGTGAGCTCTTCAGGAGAAAGCTGGGAAGAGCTTCCCTTCACCAAAAAAAAACATGAGGTGTTCACTATAAGATTACGAACTAATGTTGCAACTATGGGGTAGTTTCAAACTGTAAAACTCCCTATCCATCTAGCTGCAGCCTAGTTTCCTGCTTCTTGTTCCAAACACTGACTCACACACAATTGCAATGGTAGTCTCAAAGGTGCTTTTTCAAGAGGCAACTGGACTTCCTGGTTTTTCTTTGAAGACTTTTCGCTTGGATGAGAAGCAAAACGTTTTCAAAGAAAAATCAGTTGTCTCTTGAAAAAGCACCTTTGGGACAACCATGTCTTGAATGACTGAGAATCTCCATAGACAATACTATGGCCCAATTAAAAGTTCACAGTTTAGTCAAAGTCAAAGAGATAACAATGGTCAGAGTGTGCAAACCTAAACAGTATCTTGACAGATACTTGCATGAATAACTGAGCTGCATAGAATAGCTCAAAATCAGTCCAAAGTTCCAAGATCAGGTTAGGCTTGTCAGCCATTCCAAACAGAATTTCACGGCGGAACCCATACACATATGCAAGAGCTGAAGATCAACAATTGTTTCCATCAACAAAGGAATGTAGATCAGGGCTATCTCTTAAATCAGACTTCAATCAGTTGTTGCTAATCAAGAAATGCACTGCCTTGTTTGACAAGAAACAAATATTCGTAAAACATCATAGAATATTCATAATATAATTCGTAGGATAGCTCTGCTCTCCTCTACTCAATGGGTGTGGGAGCTGGTAGGCTTTATATCACCCAGATCTGACTGCTCCAACTGTCCAGGTATTGTCTGTTTTTGGGCAACTTCATGTGATTCTTGGTTTGGTAATTTCTATAGCTCTCATTCCGGCAGCTTCTTCAGGTTCAGAGTCTGAAGACTGGCACTGGGTTATGACCAAAAGAGGCCTCTTCTTTTTTACCTGTAGAGTTAGGAAGATAACAGCCTATAAGGATAGAGTTTTGGTAGAGGATCCTCAATGATGTCATCCAGCCTCTGATAGTATGGTGATACTAATGGTAAACTTCACCAGTTCCAATCTAGAAAACACTTTCTGCCATAATACTATTAAAATTACTTCATTGCACCACTGAGTGGCTTCTGGCCAAAAACTGGAGTGCCATAAACTTGGCTCCATTTCCAGAATTGACATATCCAACATTACTTGCATCTATTGAATAGAGCTATACTACTATACTACTAGTTGCTGCAATGTGTCTGGATCAATATACCATTTTAGCTTCTGGTTACAAATGGTAGTCTTCAAAGTTCCCTCTTTCTTCAACTGCAGAAAATTGGCATCAATTTGCCTTCCTTAATAGACATAACTTAAGAAACACAAATAATCAAACAATTCTACCTGTATTCACTTGTGTACCATTTCCATCAGCTTCTGGTATCATCTCCCATTTTGGTCCTCTAATCCACAATTGTTACATTGTGCCCTGGTCTCCAAAAGGTCTCTCCAATCAGAAGATCTGTCTAGTGCAGTCATAATTGGGTATGACAGTGTTGAATAGCATAAAAAGAAATGTGAGGAATTACTTAGTGGGTTGTGCCCAAGTCTGTGTCCTGTGACTTGCATTTTTCAATTAACACCTGGAAGAGAGGCTGCTTAGACAAGCTAGTTCCTCCTATTTACTCCTGCAAGCTTGTGATAGCAAAACTTCCAGCTTTAGCCACAATCTGATAATTACTTCCCTCTTTTATCATAACAAGTGTCCAAAGCCTGGTAGGCACTTAATACTCATTAATATCTATCCTTCCCTTTCTGATACCCAAACTGAGGAACTGGGTGGCAGGAGGAGGAGAATTTGCAAGCTGCAGGGACCTAGAACTTGCTCAATCAAAGCAAATCCCCTTTGTGAATCAAATTCTGGAGACCATCCTCACCATTTGGGCCCACATAGCACATTGAGGAAGGGTTCCTAGGTGCTGTAAGTAATTAATGGAAACAATATAAATAATTGTGCTGTTTGTTTCACTCCTGGCACTTTTTTGTTTCCTTTTTAGTAATTTTTATTAAAGAGTTATACAAACAAAAACAAATACCATCAATATAGTATATAAATATTAAAAAGAAAAAATATAAAAAGTGCAAAGGAAAAAAAAGAAACATTCCCCTTCTTTCCCATCTAATGTAAATAACATGAACAATTAATCACTATCTTTTAAAATACAACTAACCATTTCTTCATCTCATATCTCAATTTTCGGTAAGTCAATTTTTAAAGTTTCACCTCTCCCCCCTTTTAATAAGCAAATGTCCATTGATGGTTATCTGAAATAACAAAACAGTTGTAAACAATGTCTGATATAGGCAGCTTGAATCCTTCCTTTTACATTTATATCTTCTTTTCTGTTTAAAGAAACTGCCCCATCTCCTCTCTTCAAAGAAACAAAACTTTGAAACATTATCTGTTCCCGATCAATAAAAATTCATTAAATATTACCAAAAATAGCAAACTGTTTATTTTAGCCTTAGTCAAATAAACAGATTTTATATTCTTTTCTCTTTCTCCCAGCAATCTTTTGGTTCCCTCAAAACATCCTAACATTTGCTTTCTTTTCATGCTTTATCTCTTCTCCCAGAATTGTTTGCATTTTTAATAATCCCTTTTTTGTAATTCCAGTATAAAAAGCTTATCCAAATCACTTTTCACATTCTCACTGTCTTTTCTTGTGAAATCACGGACAACTTCAACAGTCCTTTTTGTAAATCCAATGCAGAGATGTTATCCACATCACTCTTCAAGTTTACTATTTGCGTATCATTTTTAATTGTGAAATCCATTGGTTTCATTTGTAAATGTAATAATTCATCTTCTCCCATCACCTTCTTATAGGGTGTAATTTTAAAATCCACATTCAAATCAATTTCAGGTTTATTCAATGGAACTTGTTCTTCTTGGATGACATCATCTGATTTTTCTATAAGAGCAGATAACTTTAAAAGAATTCCAATCCTAAATCACAAACCTCAATTATGAGGTCTACTGATTTATTTATTTCCTTCTGGACCCTTTAGTGACCAACTTTCAAAGTCATCAGTTCCAGGTGTAAACATAACAAGTTTCCCATGAGGATACTTCTAATTCAAGTCCATCTGACCCCAATCTATTTAAACTTTTTAAAATCAGCATGGTAAACACCCTTTTGTAAGTATCATATTTACACAATTAAATTAGAAGTGTAAAGTTTTGCATACACACAAACAACACATAAATACATACATATTTGCAAAATTTTAAACTTCTAATTAAAACTCCTTTCTTAAAGGATTGAAAAAAACTCACACAGTAAATATGTTTAACTTGAAGGTCCTCTATCTTTAAAAAGGGGTAGAACAAAAAGTAAAATCCAAAGTGATTCAGAAGAGATTGAAACCTGAGTCTGTGAAGGCTTCATTGATGGCTTTGAGTTTCATGGAATCCCACAACTCCC